GTAATGAGCAGTTGCTATTGGCCATGGCAGTTCCCATCACCAGCTGTGAGAGATCATGCAGCAATTTAAAACTAATTGCCATAAGCACTATTTTCTGTGGATAGGCCCCTGCTGACAGGGATAGGCCTGAGTTCTCACTGGAGGCCCCAGCTCGTGAGTGGGACGCTCATGGCCCTAGGTGGGGTGGCCCAGGGGCTGGCGGCCATGATGCCATCTGTGAGTGTCCTGGGGATGTCCTAACAAATGACCGCACGCCAGGCGGCTCAAACAACAGAAGTTCATTCTCTCAGTTTCTGGAGGCCAGAAAACCAAAACCCAGTGCCACAGAGTCGATTCTGACTCGTGGTCACCCTGTGTGTTACAGAGTAGAGCTGCTCCATAGGGTTTTCTTGGCTGTAATCTTTACGGGAGATCACCAGGCCTTTATTCCTTGGCACTGCTGGGTGGGTTCCAACTGACAACCTTTAGGTTAGTAGTTGAGCGCAAACCGTTTGTGTCACCCAGGGACATTTTCTGGAGGCCAGAAGTCTGAAAACAAGGTGTTGGCAGGGCCTTGCTCCTTCTGGAGGTTCTAAGGGAGGATCCTTCCTTGCCTCTTCCAGCTTCTGGTGGCTCCAGGCACTCCTTGACTGTGGCATCATCACTCCAATCTCTGCCTCTGTCATCAATGGCCTTCTTCCCTGTGTCTGTGTCTTCTCTTCTCTTATAAAGACATTTGTCATTAGACTTAGGGCCCACGCCAGTAATCCAGGATGATCTCATCTTTTTTTTTTTACAACAGAATTTTTGAAATCTTAAAGCTCTGTTTCCATTTTGTTTTTTTTTTTTTTTTTTTAAATTTTATAGTGCTTTAGGTGAAAGTTTTTACAGTGCAAATTAATTTCTCATTCAATACACAAATTGTTTTGCAACATTGGTTGCAATCCCCTTAATGTGTCAGCACTCTCCCCTTCTCCACCCCAGGTTCCCTGTTTCCATTCGTCGGGTTTCCGTCCCTGTCCCTTCCTTCTCATCATTGCCTTTGGGCAGGTGTTGCCCATTCAGGATGATCTCATCTTGAGCCTTCACTTAATCACACACTGATCATCTCACAGTTTCTGTGGGTCAGTGTCTTAGTCTCCTAGAGCTACTATAACAGAAATACCACAAGTGGGTGGCTTTAAAGAACAGAGATTTATCTTCTCACAGTTCAGGAGGCTAGAAGTCTGAATTCAGGCTGCTGGCTCTAGGGGAAGGCTCTCTGTTGGCTCCAGGAAGGCCCTTGCCTTGGCTTCTCTAGTGGTCTTCCTTGGAGATCTCCACGTGGCATCTATACTCCCCCGTTTGTGCTCATTTGTCTCTGTCTATGCTGCTCCTTATATCACTCAAAGTGAGTAGGCTTAGGACCTGCCCTACACTGACATGACCTCATTCATATAACAGAGAAAACCCGATTTCCAAATGGGATCACATCCACAGGTATAGGGGTTAGGATTCCAACATGTATTTTGGGGGGACACAATTGAATCCATAACAGACCCTTTTTCCAAATAAGGTCTGATTCACAGGTCCCAGGGGTCAAAATGCAGACTTCTCTTTTGGGGCCACCATTCAGCCCATAGCGCCATCTCAGCCCTGGGAGTATGCTGGGACTACAGATGTCAGTGGGTGGGGAACCCCTCAGGGCTCACAGTGCTGTTTTATAGTTCTACAGTCCCATGATGCCTTTGTTTTCCTCATTCATTTATTCACTCATTCATTCATTCATTCCACAAACGGTGGCTGAGTCCCAGCTGTGTGCAGGCACCATGATGGATGCTGGGGACAAAGCCACAGACAAGAGAGGCACAGTGAGCAAGTCCACTAGAGAGGAAGAGGAAGCAGCAAAGGCAAAGGCCCTGGGGTAGAAAGCTTGAGCAGAAAAAAAAAACGAGTGTTCAAAGGTGGACACAACCCAAGTGTCCATCCACAAATAAATGAATAAACACAATGTGGTCCATCCATACAATGGAACATTTAAAAAAAAAAAAACCAAACCCATTGACGTCAACTCCGACTCATAGTGACCCCATAGGACAAACTGCCCCGTAGGGTTTCTAAGGAGTGGCTGGTAGATTCAACCTTTTGGTTAGCAGCCGAGCTCTTAACCACTTACCCCCAGGACTCCACAATGGAATATTTCTCAGCCATAAAGAGAAATGAAGCTCTAACAGATGCTACTACATGGATGAGCCTTAACATTATGCTGAGTGAAAGAAGCCGGACACAAGAGGACAAATATTGCATGATCCCACTTAACATGAATTGTCTAGAACAGGCAAATCCATAGGGGCACAAAGTGGATTCATGTTTGCCAGGGGCTGTGGAAATGTGGAATGACTACTAATGGGCATGGGAGTTTTCTTTGGGGTGATGAAAATATTCTAAAATCAACTGTGGTGGTGTTGCACAACTCTGCAAATGAACAAAAAACCATTGACCTGTACACTTTAATGGGTGAATTGTATGGTAGGTGAGTTACAGCTCAATAAAGCTATTATAAAAAAAAAACCAAGGTGTCATCTCAGTACAAGACGACAAGCGCAAACGTCTTCCTGCCCACTGCCCCATCAAAGACTTTAGGAACAAGAACAGTTAGTGACTCTCCTGTTAATCTGGGGTATAAGCGGGGCTGAGGAGTTTAAGGAATTTCTCTGATGAGGTTGGGGGCAACTGGGGGAGATGCGGGGAGTAGGAGGCAAATATAATTGTAACCCGAAGCCATAAGCGATTTCCAAGTCTGTTGCCTTTTTAGAGACCAGATGTGGAAAAAGAGAAGTGAGTTTTCTTGGGGCACGGACCAATGGCAATAATAACCATAATACTGACAGTAGCTAATATCTTGGTGGAGGCATTGGTGGTTCAGTGGTAGAATTTTCACCCTCCATGTGGGAGACCGGGGTCGATTCCTGGCCAACGTATCTCATGTGCAGCCACCACCCGTATGAACCACTGGACCACCACTGCCCTTGTTGGGAGTCATCAGCATGTTCAAAGTCAATGGAGTGTGCAGCACAGCTACAGGTCAGGCCTGAGCCTCCCGTCCTTGGGGAGGCTGCTGGCCATGCTGTCCCCGGCTGACATCAGAGAACATGGATTTTGGGTTTCCACCATGCTGATAAGTGGCTTCCCAAACTGTTTGTGCACACAATGTGGTTTATGCTGACCACTCACGTTCCTTCTGGCAGTCTGGGATTCTGGGATGTGCCAGGCAGAGGTGTCTACATGACCAGCCTTCAGTACAAACCCCTGGCACTGCGTCTTCCCTGGTGGACAACACTTCACACGTGTTATCACAACTCAACACTGAGGGAATTAAGTATGTCCTGTGTGACGCCAGAAGTCCCTGGCTGGCACAATCGATTAAATGCAATCAGAAAGGTTAGAGGCTTGAGTTCACCCAGAGGTGCCTCAGAAGGCCTAGTGATCTACTTGCAAAAAATCAGGTACTGAAAACCCTACAGAGTAGTTCTGCCCTGACACACATGGGGTCGCCATGAGTTGGGAGTCGACTCGATGGTGAGTGGTCTGATTTTTGTGACTCCACTGGGAGAGGGCTCTGTTCCCTGGGCCTTATCCCTTTGCTCATTTTCTGCACTTTTGTTGTTAATTTTTTGTTGATTAGTGACTTAGGAGACCCCATGTGGTACAGAGTAGAAATGCTCCATAGGGTTTTCTTGGCTGTACATCTTTATGGAAGCAAACTGCCAGACCTTTCTTCCCCGACACTGCTGGCTGTGTTTGAACTTTCTGGTTACTAGCTGAGCGTAAACTGTGGCACCCAGGGACCTTTCATTTTGTGTCTTTTTGCTGTGATACATCTTAGCTGTGAGCAGGACTACACGTGGAGTCCGGAGTTCTCCCAGTAAATTGCTGAACTTGGGGGTGGTCTCGGGGACCCAGACAATGGAAGAGGCACCTGGGGAGCCAGGGCCGTGTGTGGAGCCACTGGGGATGGGGTGGTGACAGGAGCTAGGTGAAGTTCTCAGGGGCATAGGGGCTGCCTTGTCGCTCTGCTCCTGGGAGGGAGGCCAGCTCAGAGGGAGCATTCACCTGGCAGGTGGGGTGATGGGACCCTCTGTGACATGATGCAGACTGAGTTGATTGGGCAGCTTAATTAAGCAGAGGTGCCGAAGTAGAGACTCCATATTTTTGCAAAGAGAGGCAGAGAAGTGGGATCATGGCGGGAAGAGCAGGCGGGGACATCTGCAGGCTTGGGGCGACCCCTGGTCTCTAACCTGACCTGTCCTGACCTGAGGCCCCATGCTCTACCTGGGTTGTATGGTTTAGGTTTTTTGTTGTTGTTGAAGGTAACAAAACATTTGTCATTTCAACAATCGTCACATGTACAGTTCAGTGACATTAAGTATGTTCATCACGTTGTTCAAACATCACCATTAACTGTTCCTGAATTTTTCTAACACCCTTAACACAAGCTCAGTGTCCCTGAAGCACTAGGTCTTCCTTTCTGCCCCTGGTAACCACTAATAAACTTCAGTCTCTATATAGTTCCCTATCCGCTTGAGTGGGATCACAAAATATTTGCCTTTTTGTGACTGACTTATTTCACTCAGAATGATGTTTTCAAGGTTTGTCCTTGTTGGAGTGTGTATCCGGACTTCATTTCTCTTTATGGCTGAATAATATTCCATTGTAAGGATGGACCACATTTTGTTCATTCATCTGCTGATTGACATTCAGGTTATTTCTACCTTTTGGCTATGGTGAATAATGTTGCTATAGACATTGGTGTACAAGTGTCTGTTTGCATTCTTGCTTTCAATTCTTCCATGTATATACCTAGGAGTGGAACTGCTGGGTCATATGGTAAGTGACGGTTAACTTTCTGAGGAACCGCCAAACCCTTTTCCGTAGTGGCTGCACTGTTCTGTAATTCCACCAGCAGTGGATGAGGATCCAAAAAACAACATCCTTGGAACCTCCCCCGCACCACCAAGAACCTGCTACACCTGTGTCCCTAGAGGCAAAGAGTGGATGGGAAGAGTCATTAACTTTAAAATGAGCTTTAATTTGTTGGTTTGTTTTCCTTAAGTGCATTTATGGATGTAAACAGAGCATGTTAGCGATTCCAGGGAGCAGACTATTGCTGGTTCGTTGCTTTTAATTCATAAACGAAGGAACTACGATGCCAATGGCTTGGACTGACAGCAGCTTGGGAGGAGGGGGAAGAAAAAGAGACGGAACTGAGGAAAGGTGCCTTGGCGACACCCAACTGGCCACCTTGTCCAGGTCACGCAGTCTCTAGGGAGCTGGTGACAAAGAACCTGGCGAGGGCCACTCAGAGCCGCCAGGCAGCTCTGCAGCGGCCTGGCCATGTGGAATGTGTGTGTCTCCGCCTGGACGGTGCAACCGTTCTGTGCCCTGCCCGGCCTGAGTAGCTGGTGTACCCAGTCCCCTGACTTGGCCACTGGGATCGAAGACTGAATCACTTCATGGAATGGTGAATCTGGAGGAGTACAAATCTCGGTGAGGAAGACTGTCCGATTTGGAGACAGCGGAGGATGAAGAGGAAACAGGGCCGTTTTGGTGTCGACAGGCAGTGTCCTGGCACGGGGGTGTGTGTGGGAGGGCGCTGCTGCGTTTTCAGGGTCACTGTGGCTTGCGGAAACCAGTGAGACCATCTCCTCAGCAGGGACAATGGCAGTACCTGTGAGTTTTGTCAAGGCCACAGGCAGAAGACCCACCCAAGCTTCTTCCCTCCTAGATGCCTTGCATGGGCTTTCCTTAATTTGTGCTTCCCTTTGGTTTGACAGTAAAAAAGACGGGGGAGGTGGTGGGGAGGGTTTGTCACTTATCCAGAACCGAGAGCAGAGGCGAGCAGGAGCCGGAGTTGCTGGGTGGCCGTGTCCCGGGCCTGGAGCGCTCAGGGCAGAGGTGTAAGGCATCTGGAGTCCACGCCAGGGCCCTTGCTGGCCGGGGGGCCTCCAGCTGTGTTGCAGCAGGACCGAGGATGGAGAGCTGAAAGTGGGGGCCCACCACGGGGGCTGCTGCCGATATTGGTCATGCCGTGGCACTGTCCTTCCCAGTGACACGGTGCACAGGCCTGTTCTGAGAACATCATAGGAAAAACAGCAAATTCTTAACTTACTCCATCTCCAGAGCTGAGAGAAACCAGGCAGTTACTAAAATAAACAATTTCTCGATTTCGTTCTGGGGGCGGCGGGCCCATGGCCTCGGCGTGGGCAGGCGTGGGAGGGGGAAAGCCCCGGCCGAGCGAGGGGCTCACTCAGAACAGGCACAGTCAGCTGGGCTGAGCACGGCTCAAGTAAGGCGGCGTGCCTCACAGAAGGACACATCGGAAGAAGCTGCTCCTCTTCTGTTGGTCAGTCGTGATCTTGACTCCCTGGTTGCTCCCCTGGGGGCTGTTACCTTCCTGAAGTCACAAAAGGTTTTCTGAGGTTATGGCTGAGCATTGGTACTCTCCCTTAACCAACTAACCAACCACCCAACTGTTCATCCTCTTCTAACCAACTATCCATCCAGTCCCTTGTCCAACCAATCTCGCATCCTCCCATCTCTCCATTCATCCCCTTCCAACTGCCATCCATCCATCCCCTTCCAACCAACCACCCATCTGTCTCCTTACAACCAACTATCCATCTATCCATCGCCTTTCAACCATCCCCCTGGTCGCTTTCAACGAAGCATCCATCCATCGGTCCCTTCCTTCCTTCTTCCCACATATCCATCCCCTTCTACCATCCATCTACTGATCTATACCCTTCCTTCTTTCCATCAGTCCCCCTCCTCCCATCCATCTACCTACCCACCTGTCCCCTTCAAACTATCATCCATCAATCCCCTTCCAACCTCCCATCCCTCCATTCATCCTCTTTGAACCGTCCATCCATCCCCTTCCTTCCACTCACCCTTCCAACCAACCATCCATCCCTCCATTCATCCCCTTCCAATCAACCATCCATTCAATCCAACCCCTTCCAACCAACCACCCATTTGTTCCCTTACACCTATCCATCCATCTCCTTCCAAACATCCATCTATTCCCTTTCAACCAAGCATCCATCCATCTCCTTCTATCAGCCATCCATTGATCCATCCCCTTCTTCCTTCCATCCACCCATCCATCAGTCCCCTCCCTTCTTTACATCTACCCATCTGTCTCATTCCAACCAATCATGTATCCATCTCTCCAGTTGTCCCCTTCCAACCAATCATCCCCCTCTGACTGTCTATCCATCCATTGGTCTCCTTCTTCCGTCCTTCCTTGCATTACCTATGCACCTGTTCCCTTTCAACCAACCATCTATCCATTCCCTCCCTCCTTCCCATCCATCCAATTCCTTTCAACCATCCATCTACTTTCAATCAACCAAGCAACCAACCACTCACGCATACACCTGTCACCATCCAATTGACCGTTCATTCTTTCACAGACCCACAAACGTATTTTCATCTACTATACACCAACCCCCCCAACCATTTACCCTTTCAATTATTTATTCATCTATCCTTCCACCTTTTATAGCCATTTATTCAGCCACCCTACTCTCTTCTTTCTGTATCTCCTTGCTTTATTCATCTGTATCCCCTCCTCCCTTCTTCCCATCCAGCAAGGCAACCAATGAGAAACAGCAAGACTCTGTCCAGGGGAGAGAGGCCTAGGTTAAAGATCCTGCTGTTACTCACACCCGAATGGCCCCTGGGTCCCTGTGACTCACTACCTCTCCACTTAATCCACCTGCCACATGCTGTGGGAGTAGGGCCAGACCTAAAATCTAACCTTGTCACCTCACTCCCCACTGAAGACTCATCTGTGCCCCCCACTGTTTCCAAGGGATCCTCCAAATCCAGAGTCCGGAATTCAGAGCACATGTGACCAGTTCCTGTGGACCCTGGAAACTCACCTCCCATCTTCCCCGCCTCACCCTGATGGGAAGGCTCCCCTCCCTTTTCTCTAACTTCTTCTCATCACTCAGCTCGTAGTTAAAACCTCAATTTGTTCAACAAGTAACGATTGAATACTGTGGGACAAAGAACTCAACTGGGTCTTTTATCTCTGGTTCCTAAAAATAACCCCTGAAATTTGCCAGCAATCAAGGTAAGCTGCCTTGTTTTCTAGAATAGCCAAAAACAAAAAACCAAACTCACTGCCGTCGAGGCAATTCTGACTCATAGCAACCCTACAGGGAAGAGTAGAAAATAGCCAGTCAACACTTAAACATGTGTAAATGAGTAGGGGCTACACAGGCACTACCCTGGTAGCAAACCTCAGGAAGGAAGGGATGCATGATGGAATCAGCCCTGTATATTCAAAGATCCAATCAATCACTGATTATGTCATGAGGCCCCATCCTCCCCAAATCCCTATCAATAAGCCAATAAAAGCCTAGAACACAGAAGTTATAGGAGGCTTCCTGGATTGGTGAGAACATCCATGCATGGGAGAGGGTGAGGCATGTCCCTGGGGACAGTGGAAGCCTTGTGGACACGACTGATGCATCTTGTCACTTATATCCTCTCTGATTATAATAAATGTTAACTGTAAGTACAAGTAATAGTCTCAATTTTGTGAGCCATTCTAGAGAACTGACGAACCCATCGGGGCAGTGAGAGCCAGCAGAGAGGCTGGTGTTTGCCTATCTGGCAGAGACTGAAGGACAGAGTCCTTATTTGTGAAGACCCAACTCTGGGTGGTTAGGGTTAGAGAAAGTGCAACGGAAGCAGATGGTGTCAGGACAATGGAGGAGTGGGAAAGTGGGGGATATGAGTTATCTCCACATTTTGGGAACTGGCCTTATGTAAATTTTTAGCAAAGTAGATGCTGACGATGTGTGCTTTTCTGGGCACACGGAGGCAGACAAGACAAAGCTTTGCCTTGGGAGCGCAGCCTGGCTGGGGGGACGGGAATTACACAGGCAAATGAATAAGCAGTGACCCCACAGTGGGGAGCAGTTAGAGGGGAAGGAGGTAGGCAAAGAGCTTCAGGGACACAGGAGGTGTGTTTTGACAGCAACGTCTGAACAGAGACGTCGTGAAGTGAGGTGGTGAAACGCAGGACGGCCCAGGAGTGTGGCTGGCAGAATACAGGCCCCCAGGATGTCCACGCCCTAATTCCTGGAGCCTATGGATATGGTTCCTGATGTGGCAAAAGGGACTCTGCAGATGGGATGAAATGAGGTAGGGAGAGGATCCTGGATGACCCAGGTGGGTCCAAAGAAACCCCACCAGCCCTTAAAAGTAGAGACCCTACTTCTACAACTTAACAACAAAAAGACAAACAACTCAATCAAAAAATAAGCAGAGGACTTGAACAAACATTTCACCAGAGAGGATAACTGAAATGGCCAACAAGCACATGAAAAGATGTTCAACACCATTAGCCATTAGTGAGATGCAAATCAAGACCACAATGAGATACCACCTTACCCCCATTAGACTGGCAGTGATTTAAAAAAAAAAAAAGGAAAACAGGTGTTGGTGAGGTTGTGGAGAAACTGGAATCCTCATCCACTGCTGGTGGAAACGTAAAATGGTGCAACCACTGTGGAAACAGTTGAGCACAGAAGTACCATATGACCCAGCAATCTCAGTCCTAGGTACTCAGAAGTGGAAGCAGGAACACAAAACATAAACCTGTCCACCAATGTTCACTGCAGCAATTTTCACAACAGCCAAAAGGTGGAAACAACTAAAATGTCCATCCACAGATGAATGGAAAAGCAGTATGTGGTATATACACACATTTACTCAGCCATAAACAGAAATGAAGTCCTGATGCATGCCACCACACGGATGAACCTTGAAAACATCATGCTGACCGAAATCAGTTGCAAAAAGACAAACACCATATGATCTCACTTATATAAAATAAGCAAATGTATAGAAACCAAACATTGTTAGTGGTTACCTGGCGTGGAAAGGAGCGGGGAAAGGGGAAGTTTCTGCTTAGGGGATAGTAACTTTACGTTGATGGTGGTGGAATAGTTTGGAAAAGGATAGCTAGGATAGATGCACAACTTCAAGAATGTAATCAATGTCACTAAACGGTACAGGTAGAAAATGTTGAATTGGCAAGAAAAAAAAAGTAGAGAGCCTTTCCCAGCGGTGCTCAGAGAAAGCAGTATGATGATGATGGATGCAAGGTCGGAGAGCTGCTATGCTGCTCGATCTGAAGATGGAGAAAGGGCCACAAGCCAAGGATGAAGGCAGCCTCTAGACAATGGAAAAGGGAAGGAAGCGGATTCTCCCCTGGAGGCCACAGAAGGAACGCAGCCCTGCCAACACCTTGATTTTAGTCCTGTGAGACACCTGTGGGACTTCTGGTCCCCAGAACTGTGCTGTAATAAACCTGTGTTGTTTAAGCTGCAAAGTTTGCAGTTACTTGTTATGGCAGCCCTACGGAAGTAACATGAGGGGGTACACTTCAGATAGAGGGAAGAAAAGACAGCAGAGCCCTGAACTGCAGGTGAGCACGAAATGTTCCTGCAGTGGGAAAATGGATGAGGCTGGAGCAGACAGATGACAGGGGAAGGGGCAGGGCAGCCAGAGCAGGTGGGCGGAAGTGGGGCGTGGGGCTGGGGGTCTGTTCTATGTGCAGTGGGGCTACTGGGCTGCTTTGGGATTGGGGTGGGTATAGGCTGGGCCAGAGCCCCTCGATGGCACAAATGGTTAAGTGCTTGACTACTAGCCAAAAGGCTGGCAGTTTGGACGCACCCAGAGATGTCTCAGAAGACAGGCTGGGGGATCTGCTTCCAAAAGGTCACGGCCTCGGAAAACCTACGGAGCAGTTCTACTCTGCACACATGGGATCGCCATGAGTTAGAGCTGACTTGAAGGCAACTAACAACAACACTGGCAGGGCAGGGCTTTTTGTGACAGCATGGACCACACCCTCCAGAGGTGGTGGGCAGAGCTGGCTGCAACAGCCACAAAAGGTAGATGACTGAACGAGACCATCTGCAACTCTCAATAAACAAAGGACGTAGGCAACAGTGAGGGGTTTTGCTGCCAGAGACTTGAAATTCGATTAAGAGAAAAAAACCACAGGACTACGGCTGTGCAGCAGCACGTCAAACCGTTCTCAAGGTAATCAAAAGGCCAGTGTCGGAAGCGTGGGGTGTTACTGGGATGCTAAGCGTAACTGCAAAAGTCAGTCAGGAGAACAGCTAAGAATCACATTTTACAGGGACTGTTTCCCATTTGGAAACCCTGGTGGTACACAGCGGTTAAGAGCTACAGCTGCTAACCAAAAGGTCGGCAGTTCGAATCTACCAGGCACTCCTTGGAAACCATATTGAGCAGTTCTACTCTGTTTTATAGGGTCGCTATGAGTCAGGATCAACTCGATGGCAATGGGTTTGGTTTCTCATTTTGGCCAAGAGCTGCTATTACATCAATTACGCATCTTACAATTCACAGCATCTTAGAGTTGCGCGAGTTTGTTGGTTTTACATCAGGTTTGAGCTATGTGAATGACGTTTTGCTCATCTGATCAGGCCTTTTAAAAAAAAAAATCAAACCCATTGCCTTCAAGTCAATTCTGACTCACAGTGGCCCTACAGGACAGAGGAGATCTGCCCTCACAGGGTTTCCAAGGAGCAGCTGGTGGATTTGAACTGCCGACCTTTTGCTTAGCGTCCTAACGTTTAACTACTGGCTCCAATCAGGCCTAAAGTAAGCACAAATACAGTGGTTTCAGCCTTTTTATCAGGAGAGTAGCGTTAGTGGCACAATGGTTAAGCACCTGACTGCTAACTGAAAAGTCGGTTTGAACCCACCAGCCACTCCGTGGGAGAAAGATGTGGCAGTCTGCTTCTGTAAAAATTACAGCCTTCGAAATCCTGTGGGGCAGTTCTACTCTGTCCTATAGAGTTGCTGTGAGTCAGAATCGACTCGATGGAAACGAGTTTGGTTTGGTTAGGTTTTGGTTATCAGGCAAGGAGCAGGCAAAGAGGGAGGAAGACTCACCACAGCATTTAACCTCTGCTCTAAACTCCCCGAGTCCAGTCAGTGGCGGATTCAGCCAATGGAGAATGATTTATGCTGAATACTGTAGAATATGAAATTGCTTGCGTTATAAACAAAAACCCAGAAAACGCATGGAAGGGTGGACAGCGAGAGCCACGCAGAGCGACGGTGGAACACCCAAAGAGGGCAAAGCCAGTGCAACTGTCAGGATTTGAGCCTGGACATTAGCAATGAGCATTCTGAAAAGGAAGTTAAACAGTTCCATTTAGAACAGCATCTAAAAGAATAAAGTACCTAAGAATAATTTTTTTCTCCAAATTTGACAATTTTTATTTCATTGTTTTTTTTAAATAATTCTAGAAATAAATTTGGAGCCCTGGTGGCACAGTGGTTAAGAGCTAGGCTGCTAACTAAACAGTTGGCAGTTCGAATCCACTACCCGCTCCTTAGAAATCCTATGGGGCAGTTCTACTCTGTCCTACAGAGTTGCTATGAGTCGGAATCAACTCGATGGTAACTGGTTTGTTTTAGGAGCAAATTTAACTGGGAAGGTGAAAGACTTGTAGGCAGGAAACTATAAAATATTAGTTAAAAAAAAAAGTTAAAAAAAGACCTAAATAAATGGAAGGATATTCTGTGTTTGTGGATTGGAAGACAATATTGTCAAGACATCAATACTACCCAAAGCAATCCATAAATTCAATGCAATCCCCATCAAAATTCCAACAGCCTTCTTTGCAGAAATGAAAAAGCCAATCCTCAAATTTATATGGAAGGGCAAGGGGTCTCAAACGGCCAAAGCAATCTTGAAAAAGAACAAAGTAGGAGGACACACACTTCCTGATTTCAAAGGTACACTAACCAAAACAGTCTGATATTGGTATATCGACAGACATACAGACCAACGGAATAGAATTGAGAGTCCAGAAATAAACCCATACATTCACATTCAACTGATTTTTGACAAGGTGTTAAGTCCGTTCAATAGGGAAAGGAAAGTCTCTTTTAACAAATGTGCTGGGACAAGTGGATTTCCACATGCAGAAGGAAGAATGAAGCTGGATCTCTACCTCACAACATGTATGAAAAACAGATCAACAACCTACACGAGATCTAAAACTATAAACCTCTTAGAAGAAAACATCAAGGTAATGCTTCATGACCCAGCTTTAACAACGGATTCCTAGATAGGACACCAAAGGCACTAGTAAGAAAAGACAAAATAAATAAATCAGGATTTGAGGTCAGAAGGGAAAAAGATGATTCTGCCTGGTTCATCAAGAGAGTATGAAGACAGTGGCTGTGATACCAGGACGACCAAGGGTGCGGGTTACATGTGGACCCTGGGCCGAGCCATGGCTGGGTGACTGGGCGGCCTTTCTCCTTCCTCTGGCACGGTCATTTGTCTGTATGGCCCTTCTGGTCTGTCTGGGTGGCTCTCAGCACTGAGGACTGCACAAGCGGTGAGTGGATGATGCCACAATCCACACCTGCAAACTCTGCCCTGTCCATGTGTCCTCATGGCTCTGGCTGGGCCCTGGGAGGCATCCTGCCCTAGGCCAAGGATGCGGGACCCAACAGGACTCACCAATTTTTTGTCCATTTTTGCTTTGATGTCTCTGGCAAGTGTGAAGAAGGCCTGTGGAGAAAGCATGGTATTAGTCCCAGGCGGTGCAAATGGTGAACATGCTCGGTTACTAACCGAAAGGTTGGAGGTTCAAGTCTACCCAGAGGCACTTTAGAAGAAAGGCCTGGCAATCCACTTCCAAAAAATCAGTCATTGAAAACCCTATGGAGTACAGTTCTACTCTGACACACAAAGGGTCGCCATGAGTTGGGGTCAACTTGAAGGCAGCTGGTTTTTTGGGGTACCTCCCCTAAGCCAATAACCCCATTAGTGGGTTCGCGCAATTGACCAGAGAGAAAACTGAGGCTCACAAGGGCCAAGTGACTTGTCCAAGAGACCCCGTGGTTAACTGACTCACATGGAAGGAGGACCTGGCCCTGTGCCTTAAGGCCCACGCTCTCTCTGCGCACTCTGGCCCCCTCTTCTGGCGGTCAGTGGCAGACAGAGGGACAGAGCCTTGCCCGGGGGTGGGGGGGTTTAGGGGGATGGAGATCCCTGAAGCAGCAACAGCTTCATGTGGGGAGGCGTAGAGGACCAAGATGGAGGAGGTTCATCCTCTCAGCCCAGCAAGGGGCCCAAGCTGGTCAGCCCTAGTTACCACCTCTATTACAACCCTGTGAGTGTGTCCTGCCTTCCCTCACTCACTCTCTGTTAAGTGTCTGTTAATCCCGCTCTGTGAACCAACCTGTCCGGGGATGGGGGATGAACCAGACTTGGGGTTTGCACATGAGGGACTCCTGGCTGGCAGGAGGCAGAATCTCAACAAATGACAAGGGAGGCGGAACATTCTGCTGTGGAGAGTGGTTCAGGGTGCTGGGGATGCCCCGCCTGGGGGTGGCAGAGACTTCCTAGGCGGGCATTTGGGCTAGGCCCTGATGGGTAAAGAGGCATCTGACAGGCAGAAAGGGGAGTGGGGGAAGAGAACATACAGAGGGGACACAGGAAGGGCTTGGGGGTGAGGAGTGGCATAAGCAGCCTGGGAATGGTGAGAGGTGGGCAGGGTCAGCTACAAGGAGAGGAGGGTAGCCAGGCCCTGACTCACTGTGTGGGGCTGCGGGCCTGTTGGTGTGGCACCACGGTGGCATCCCAAGAGTCTGAGCTGGGCCTGGGTGCCCAGTCAGCTGAGCCTCTCCAAGCCTCAGTTTCCCTGTCTGCAAAATCACGCTGCTTGCTTCCTAGGGCTGCCCAAGCACCCGGTCTAGGGCCAGCACCTGCTGTCAGACACGGGGGTGATTCCCGTGGAGCCACGTGGCAGCCCCAAGTCTAACGCTGGCTCCTGTGGCCAGGCTGAGTGGGCAGTGAGACTCACATTCTCCACGTTGATGTTGGCCTTGGCGCTGGTCTCCATGAACTTGATCCCGTAGTCCAGGGCCAGCTGTGGGGAGGGGGAGGGTTGGGGGAAGGACGGACACACACACAGACACAGACACACACGCACACACGCGCGCGCGCGCGCGCGCGCACACACACACACACTAGCCACCAGGCCCTGGCTCCTCAGGTACAAACAGGAGCCGGAGCAGGCGTAGCCCTTGAGCAGGGGAGCAGTGGAGGGGCAGGGGGTCACTGTGGCCCTGGGGCTGCTCCCTCAATGTCCCTCGGCAGCACCAAGCCTAGTACTAAGACTGGGGAGACGGCGGAGACTGAGGATGGCAGGGAGGGAGGCACTGGGGCTGTGAAGGGCCCAGTCAGAGGCCAGTTGGGGGCTCCCATGGTATATGCCCTTGCCTGCTGGGCAACAGCACCCGACCTGCCCTCCATGTGCCACATGCGCAGGTGGGTGACCAACTCTCCTACAACCTGGGAAAGAGGGTGAGGGGTCCTCCTCCAAACTTGGCCGGGGGGTCCCTGCACGGGGACCTGCCGTGCTACACCCACCCAGCCACCAGTCCTACCTTCTCTCCTCGTTCCTTGGACACCTGTCTCTTGTCGTTCACATCGCACTTGTTCCCAAGGATCATCTTTTCGACGTCAGCAGAGGCATGCTGGGGTGAGGGGGCAAAAGGGGAGGGGTGAGGGGGGCAGCCTAGACCACAGGCTGGTGCTTAGACCAACTTGGCCCACCCAGAACCAGAGCAAGCAAGAGGAATGGTGCACCCCAGCCTCTTATAGACCACAAGCTGAAGCTCAGAGGTCCCCTGCCCCACCGCGAGGCTAGGGCCAGAGGTCCAGATGGGGTTAGGGCTCTGCTGCCCCACTCAGTGTGCGTGTGCTAGAACACTTTCTGCTGCTGAGAACTGCTCCGTGGACTGCTGACCAGGCTCCTGTGCTGCCCCTGGGCTATAGAGAGGTAGGAGGTGGATGAAATCTGCCTCTACCTGCCTCCCCGCCCCCTCTGGAGGGGCCACACAACCTTCCTGGCACCTTTCCCCACTGCCCTGGCTCTCTCTGTGGACTCCGAAGGCAGGCTGGGCCTGGGTGGAAGCAGTTCACACTAGCGCTGGCCCTGGGTGCTTAGCCTCCCCTGGGGCCCTCTGGGCTCTGCCCTCACCCATGGATACACATCCTCGATTAAACCCTCCTGGCTCCTCTGGAGTGGGCCACGCTTACCGGAGGGTCGGGATGCGGGACGGCACCTTCTCTCTGAGCCAGTGATCCGGTATGCATGAAGCATTGTCCACTCCCGCCTGACTTCCTGCTGCCCAGAGGGCCCTTGCCCCATGAAGAGCAGCATGGGTGGTCTCCCCTCACCCCACTCCCAGAGACGCCCCAGGCCAGGGGCTTGGCTGCAACCACACACATCAGGAGCCTGGCTGAGTGGCTGGCAAGTCCTGGGCTGCAGTGACATGACCTTTCTCATGGCTTCGTGGGTGGATGATGTTCTCTGGCTGCCTTGGACCTGAAGCTCCCCGTACGTGGTTAGTCATTAACGCTGTGAGCTGTGCCTGGGAAGGCCTGTCCAGTCAGGGCATGATCTTGGGGTGTAGGAATCGGAGGCAGGTCTGGCCTCCTCCTCTCCCCAGAGTTCAAGGTCTCCTCTCCTGGGATGCAACGAGCTGCCTGTCAGAGCTCACACCTGCCTCACTGAGGCTCAAAGTACAAACTGACATACCTTTGTACCACACCCAACAAATAAAAGGGTTACGATGGTTCTAGAACCTTCCCTCTCTAGAAAGCACCAAATGTTCACGGTGACCTCAAGCTTGTCCAGCTCTTCCCTTCCGACTGCGAGACTGGCCAAACTCAACGGGCACGTGGGCTCTCAGAGGCAATGGGGCAGGCCTAGACTCAAAACCACTGCCTGGGCATGGCTGAGCTGGCGTGTGGCCTCGGGGCCAACCCTCGCTCCCTGGCTAAGGGGCTCCTGGTGAGTGGGCTGCTTTGCATCTCTCAGCCTCAGCATCTCCTCTGTGAAGCCGAAGCCCTGGTGTGAGGGCTCAGCACAGGATGTGTGGAAGGTTCCAGCACTCGCCTGGAGAAGCCAGCCAGCCTTACCTCCTCAATGTTCCGGATCCAGTTCCGGATATTGTCAAAAGACTTCTCGTTCGTGATGTCGTAGACCAGCATGATGCCCTGTACAGGGGGACAGAAATTTTCCTGAGCAACGGGGTCTCTGAGAGGCTGCGAGATGGTGAGGGCTTGTGGCCTATGGGAGGTGGGCAGGGGTCCAGGCAGGCCCCCGTCCCCACCAGCATGTGGTCCCTGTCTGCCGGCCTCATGATGTCTTGGAGATCTGCTCCCTCCACACCCCTCCACAGCCCTACCCTTCCTGCTCAGGGTCTCCACATGTCATACAGGCCTGAGGTGACCCTGCCACCACAGACCCGGCCCCACTACAGCCCCCTACTACAGGTAGGACGATCCGGCCCCCATGCCTCGCAGTGCATGCCCACCTGGCCCAAGCAGACCCTCCTCAGGCTGTGCTCAGCATCACCATACCCCCCACTTACCCTACCCAGCCAAGTCCCCTCTCAAGCTCTGAGCACCTAGCGCCGTGCCTCATCCATCCTTTATTCACTGGGTGCCCACCATGCAGTCACTGCAGTGACCCTTACAAGCCCTGGCTGGGTGGTCCTATCAGCCCCCTCCGCAGATGAGGGACCTAAATATAGGAGTGTTTAGTCCCACCCACGGGCATGTGGGGGAGCAAGTGGCACAACTGGAGGACCCCAAAGCCAATGTGCCTTCTCAGCGGCCCCACCAGTGCAGGCACAGGTGCCAAGGCTCAGTGGTTCCCTAACAGATGTGTGGGCACCAGGGTGCTGGCCTGCAGGTCCCGTAGAGCCTGTGACAGTGCTGTGGGGAAGAGGGCATTGGTGCACCTCCTGTGGGTGGAGGCCGTGCAGAGGGGAGCACACACTGCTCTTCCCGTCCTGAGGACAACTGCGAGGAACAGCAGATGACCCCAGTGGAACACCAGGCACAGAGAGACAGGATCTTTAAGACTTGACTCTGAAAGGCAATACCCTGGCCCCCCAGGACCTCTCACGTGCCTGCCCATACATCAGCCTCTCATGACTTCCTAGAGGGCATCTTCATAAGTTGGCCCTCACATGGGAGCCATCGGTCCCCTCTGTAGTGAAGCTCTGGGTCCCAGGGCACCTGGCCAGTCCACGCCACAGGTGAGCTGCACCCTGCTCCCCTGTCCAGGCCCACATTCACTGTTCCTTTACCCTCCACCTGTTCTGGGGCCCTGCCCTGTGTCTAGGCACCTCAGGGGCACTGCCAACCTGGGTGCAAGCTGAAACATCTTAGAGGCCACCTGTGTTTGTGAAGCACAGGCATGGGCTGGGGCACTGTGTGGATAATGGTGGGCGAGTGTGTGACAGAACCTTCCCGATTGGGGCAGAGCAGACTGCTTGACTGCAAACTCACCATGAACACGAGGACGTGAACACTGGCCTCCCAGACCAGTACAACCCCAGTTACGGCCAGGACCCCATAAATGCAGTTTGGGGACCGTTCATTCAGGGAGACATACTGGAGACTGCTAATGGGGAGGCTCGAAGGAGAATGTAATGGCCTGTGGGGTTCACCGCACCTAAGACAAAGTCGCAGCCAAGCCAAGCAAGGGGAAGACAGTGGCAGGAAGACCTGTAGTTAAGATGTCACTGGGGCCTCTGCCCAGCAGCTGTCCTCTCGCCACCAAGGAGCAAGAGACACAGAGGGCTGTCACGTTCTCTTGCCCAGGGACCATCCTCTAATGGCTCCCACTACTCCAAACTCCCCAATTTTTACCTATCACCAGGGGCAGGGGAATGACCTGGGAATAAAGGGGCAGTGACTTGGATGGGAAGTCCCTGGGTGGTGCAAATGGTCAATGTGCTTGGCTGCTAACAGAAAGGTTGGAGGTTCAAGTCCACCCAGAGGCGCCTTGGAAGAAAAGCTTTGCAACTGACTTCTGAAAAATGAGCCACTGAAAAACCCTATGGAGCAATTCTACTCTGACAGATGTGGGGTTGCCATGAATCAGATGGAGGAGAATTAGGAAAATACCACATCACCCTATCCTAGACCCCCTTGAGACTCCCTTGGTGCTTCAAGCGACTGTTTTCTGGCCCCTACCTGCACACAGCTCCCACATCTGTCTTTAACCTCAAAATGGTACACCACCACCCTTTCGAAAAAGACGTCTCACACTCCCCAACGTATCTGGGATTTCTAATCTGAGGGTGTAGGCGCAGTACTGATAGGAATGACGTCATAATGTCCTCTACCTGCACTGGCCCACAGTCACCACAGCCACACACAGGTCCTGAGCATTCAGAACGTGGCTAGGGCAACTGGAGCTGGATTTTTAACTTTAATTCATTTAAATGCAAACAGCTACAGGTAGCTAGGGCTTCCATATGGGTCAGTGCAGGTCTAGGAGAATCAGAAGAGAGGCAGTGGTGGTTCAGTGGCAGAATTCTCACCTTCCATGTGGGAGACCGGGGTTCCATTCCCGGCCATTGCACCTCAGGCGCAGCCACCACCCATCTGTCCTTGGAGGCTTGCATGTTGCTATGATACTGAACAGGTTTCAGCAGAGCCTCAAGATTAAGACCAACTAGGAAAAAAGGCCTGGTGATCCACTTCTGAAAATCAGCCAGTGAAAACCCTATGGATCACAACAGTCTGACCCACAACTCATCATGGGAATGGTGCAGGACCAGGCAGTGTTTCATTCCATTGTGTATGGTGTCACCCGTTATGAGTCGGGGGTTGACTCGATGGCAGCTAACAACAACAAGGAGAATCAAAAACCACAATAATCTTGCTGCTGCACAGGGTCTTGGGAGGTGGTTCTGTCCTGGGGTTGGTGGAGGTGGAGGACATAGGTGCTGGGGAAAGACAGAGAGCTCAGCCCACAGGTGGCCCTGCCTTTTACCCTCTGGGTGCACTTGAGCCTCAGGCTCCCTGTCTATAAGACAGAAAGGACACCCCTACACTGAGGGGGTGCTATTTATAGCCAAGATACAAGGAGAGAAGGCCGGTAAAGACCTGGGCCCAGCACTTGGCACAGGGGAAGGGCTCGGTAATGGGCCAGAGTGGCTATGTCAGCCCAGAGAGGGACACACCCTCACAGGGGGCCACCAAGCTCTGACCAGGGTCCGAGGACCCCAGGCACTCTCCCAGAGCACACGGAGGCGACAGTGAACAAGGAGATCAATTTAAATGAGGAGTCCTAAAGTTGCGACCCACCCGACTGAGTTTCTACTGTGTCTCAGGCGCGGTGACAGCACTCCAAAATCTTAGTGCCCTGCTCAGTTTTGCCACCCATGCTCCTGTGCCCCACCCAGCGCTCTTCTGGGCACAGGGCACGAGGCGTGACCCCAATGCGGCCCTGCCCTCACCACGTTCAGCCTAAAGGGAACAGGAACCTACGCAATCAAGTCAAGGGATTGCTGTGGAAATGGTGGGCTGCCCAGATGAGGGGAGAGAAATGACCCTTTCACCCACAAAGTCGCCTGGGAGAGAGTCTGTTGTCCGTTGTTTTCTAATAAGAAGATGGTGCTCCTGGGCCCCACGTGTTTCCAACCCATTTGGGCCCACCACCCACAGGTCTAGTCCTGGCCTGGCCTGGAGAACCGGCCCGACAAATACTTGAGGGGTGAGTGAACGTGCCCTCCTACCACGCACATCACATGCCGCAGGCCTGGGCAACCAGCCTAATGCCAACAACTCCCAGCAAGTTGGCTCCTGGGGGACCTCAAGCTGCTGGTCATGAATTCCATCCCGGCTGACGCGGGCCGCGCAAACGCTCCTAAGTGTTGGGGCATGCCGGCTGCCTCCAATTCCATCTACCTCACCTGGAAGAACTGGCTTTCTGTTCCCACCCCCTATTCCCAAAGAATGTTTCCACTTCACCTACACCATGTGCAGCCAGGGGGGACATCTGGAGGTGGGGTGGGGGTGGCGCACACAATCCTCTTAAGAGGGATCGGGACAAATCCCCCCTCCATCCCAGCCTGATCACACACTCCCCAGAAACACCGAAGCTTCACTATGGAAGGCAGGGGCATTCATTCAGACTTAAGCACCCCATCCATACCATTGCGCCCCGGTAGTAGGCCGTGGTGATCGTCCGGAACCGCTCCTGGCCAGCTGTGTCCCTGAACGGAGAAGAGGAGGTGTTAGAGCAGGAATGAGGCATGAGGCAACTTTACCCGGACACCCAGCTTTCCATGGGCTGTCACAACTGTCCTCCCACTGTGAGGCGGGCCTCAATGAGCCCTGGTGTAGAATGAAGGTTAAGGATGTGCCGATGTCACCAGCTGGGGATGTGGTAAGGCCACCACTCAAACTCTGGCCCACATGCTTTCTCCCCTTTTCTTCCTGGGACTCCCCCAGAGTTTCTAGGTCACAAGAGTGAAAGCTGGACACTGCTATGGGTTGAACTATCTCCCAAAAAAGAAATGTTCAAGTCCTAACCCCAATACCCGCGAATGTGATTTTGTTTGGAGACAGAGCCTCTGCAGATGTAACTAGGTTAACATGAGATCACCCTAGATCAGCTCAGCCCTGAATCTAATGACTGGTGTCCATATTAGAAGAGAGAGACACAGAGAAGGCCACGTGAAGATGGAGCAGAGACTGGAGTGAGGCAGCCACAAGCCCAGGGATGCCTGGAGCCCCTAGAAGCTGGAAGAGACAAGGAAGGATCCTCTCCTAGAGCCTCCAAGGGAGCGTCGCCCTGCAGAAACCAGTTCAAAGCCCTGGCTGAAACCGTGATTTCAGACTTCTGGCCTCCAGACCGTGAGAGAATGAATTTCTGTTGTTTTAAGCCACCTGTTGTGGTCATTTGTTAGGGCAGCCCCAGGGTACTTAGATGAATGTTATTTGTAAAGATCCAGGGCTGCATGTGTGCAAAGGGCTAGCCAAGGGGCAAAGGAATAGAACCCTCATGGCTTGGGTGGCTGACTGAGCTTGGAACTGATGGCTCAGGTAGCACTTTCACGCACACCATCTTGGTTCAGGTGAGGGGAAAGCCCTTACCTGTGTGATAGAAGCAGCTGCGCGTATCACACAACGTAAGACAGGACCAGGCCTTGCCTGGGTCCGGGCATGGAAAGTATTCAGTGCTTTATTTAAAGGTGACCTAACTGACTAATGGCAGAGCCAGGGCAAGAGCTCACGTCTTGGTCTCGGGGCCCAGGGCCCTTACCGCACCCTCGCATGCCCCTGGAGAGCCCCATATGCCTGGCCTGCACAGAAAGGTCTTGCCGAAGGAGTCACCTGACTTTAGGACACTGTTAACAGGCGATGTCAGGAGGTACAAAGATTCATTTTATTCTTAATTGTGGTCCCGCTCGCTGGTCCCCAGGGTGTGGGCAGCATTTCTGCCTCATCTAGGAGAGCTTTATCAACACTACCAATCCCGCCGGGCTTAGTAAGAGCAGGAGTGTCACGGGTTGAATTGTGTCCCCCAAAAACGTGTGTTGTAAATCCTAATCTCTATGCCTGTGTATGTACAGCCAGAGTCTCCTTGGAAGCGAGGATGGCAAGACTTTGTCTCATATACTTTGGATATGCTATCAGGAAGAGACTAGTCGCTGCAGAAGGACATCATGCTAGGTAAGGTAGAGGGTCAGCACAAAAGAGGAAGACCCTCAATGAGATGGACTGCCACAGTGGCTACAACAATGGGCTCAAACACAGCAAGGACTGTGAGGATGGCGTGGGACCGGGCAGTGTCTCGTTCTGTTGTACATAGGGTCACTATGAGTTGGAACCGACTTGGTGGCACCTAACAACAACAGGCCTGTGGGGAAGGAGCCCTGGTGGCACTGTGGTTAAAGTGCTTGCTGCAAACCAAAAGGTCAGCAGTTTAAACCCACCAGTTTCTGTTTCTATTTATAGCCTTGGAAACCCTATGGGGCAGTTCTGCTCTGTCGTCTAGGGTTGCTGTAAGTCAGAATCAACTCTATGGCACTGGGTTTTTTGGTTTATGCTGGTGGTTATAGCCCCATTTGGGAAAGGACTGTCTTTGTTATGTTAACGAGACAGAATTAGCTTAGGTTGTGTCTTGAGTCAATCAATTTTGAGATATAAAAGAGATTAAACGGAAGCTAGCAAGTGGAGATGGGGGAAGAGAGATGCCAAGCCACAAGAAGATCACCCAGGAGCAGAAGCTCAAAAGTAACAAGGAACTTCCTCCAGAGCCAACAGAGACAGAAACACTTCTCCTAGAGCCAGTGCTCTGAATTCAGACTTTTAGCCTCCTACTGTGAGAAAATAAACGTCTGTTAAAGCCCCCCACCTGTGGTATTTGTTATAGCACCACTCCATAACTAAGACAGGTAGGAAGTTAGGAGGGGAGGAAAGTGAAACTCCACGGCTGGGGCGGTGTCCCTTTGGACTCGGGCACAAAGGCTGCTGGGGAGCCAGCGTGTTAGGGAGTAGAGGAATATCCACAGCTGCTAACGTCCATGCTGGCAAGAAGCCAACTGGTTGCCCAGTTCGGGGGATGGACAAGGTGTTAGACCTTGTTAGATCTGAGGCCAGCTTTGGAGGTGAATTTCTCTGGGAGTTGAGGGGACAGGACTCCACTCCCAGTCCTGGTGCCTGCCTGGCCCAAAGAGACCGTGCCACACTCCAGGATATCACTTCTCTTCATCACGTCGCTCAGCATGGGGCACTGGGCGGAGTATGTGGATGCAGAGCCTGACTCCCCTGTGATCAACCATCTGGAATCAGTCTGCCCACTGTAGCAGGAGGTGGACCAGAGCCAGTGCCAGTAAAGGGAACTCTGAGACTCACTCCTTCCCTTGTTATTAGGGCCCAGGAAGTCGTCCCCAGGCTCTGAGGAAAGGAAACGGGTCTTAGCACCAGGCCTGGCCTCATCTTAATTTCAGTTTTGGAATTTCAGGTCGGCCTGCCAGGAAGTGAGGCCTGGGCTTCCCCAGAAGAGAAAAGAGGACGAGAGGTCAAAACTCCCTCAGCAAGCTGATGACGTCAGGAGGGAACTCCCGGGCTGGGGCGTATTATGGGTTGAACTGGGTCCCCACCCCCAAAATATGTGTTGAAGTCCTAACCCCTGTACCTGTTATTATGACCCTATTTGGGAGCCCCTGGGTGGTGCAAACAGTTAAGTGCTTGGCTGCTAACTGAAATGTTGGCAATTCAAGTCCACCCAGAGCTGCTTTGGAAGAAGGGCCTGGCAATTTACTTCTGAAAAATCAGCCACTGAAAACTCTAATGAAGCACAGTTATACTCTGACACACATGAGGTCGCTGTGAGTAGGAGTCCACTCAAGGGAAACTGGTTTTGGAAACAGGGTTATCATTTGTTTTGTCAGTGAAGTCATACCAGTGTAGGGTGGGTCCTAAACCTAATCCCTCCTGTGTGGTGTCTTATAAACAGAGCAGAACAGACACACACACACAGAGGGGGAAGACAAACACCATTTGAGGACCCATCTACAAGCCAAAGAAAGGCAAGGAACGCCAGGCAGCTACTAGAAGCTGAAGGAGACAAAGCAGGAACCTCCCCTTGAGCCAACACCCTGGATTCAGACTTGTAGCTTCCAGAACTGAGAGGAAATAAATTTCTGCTCTTTAAAGCCACCCACTTGTGGTTTTTGTTACTGTAGCCCCAGGAAACTAAGACAGGGCCCTTCCCCGCCCTGCAGCCTTCAGGGGCACCTCTGCCTGGCACAGGGGGCTAACCCCCCAGGTTCAGTGGGAACAGGCCAGCTCTGTGGCCATGGCTCACAGAAGGGCCAGGTTTTGCCCAGGGTGGAACACTGAGCTAACCCAGATGGGAGTCATGTCCTCAATAGGCACCAACCCAGAATCAAGAGCACAGGTCCCTGGGTTGGGTGTGAGACACGAGAGGACTCTGAAGATCAAGGCCATGGCCACAGGGGCTGGAGCGGGGACACCAGGGGCTTCTGGCTTGAAACACTCTCCAGGCAAAGGGGCTGACAAGGAACTATGGATCTCACCATATCTGCAGTTTGATTCTCTTGCCATCAAGCTCTATAGTTCTGATTTTAAAGTCAATTCCTGAAAGAAAAGGAAAAAAGCATATCATTGTCAACCATTTTGCAAGCTGTGTCAGAGAGGGTGCTGCCGAACCAGGCAGGTAACAGCCCCCTTGGATTTCGGAGCACCCCCCACAGGATGGGGCACTGCCGGCCAGGGCAGGTAACAGGGCCTGGAGCGCCTGCTGCAAGCACCAGCTAGGCACTGGACCTACAGACCTAGGAATCCACACAGGTCTGGATGCATCTGGAGATACCTGTCCCTCCACAGGAGGGGATTCCAAGGCTCAGAGGGCCGATGGGCACTATCCAGAGTGAAGTCTGCAAGTGGCAGGGCTGGCTGTCAAACGCAGGTAGCCCCAATTCCAAAACCAGGCTCTCTGCCCCTCGCTGCTGCCCCTGAGCCCACCTCCCAGCCCCAGGCAGCCGTGCGTGGAGTGGGTGTCAACAAGAGCCCAGTGTGCAAGCCTTGTGCAGGCCAGAGCTGCCATCTCTCCACCCTGCCTTCCGAGGTGCTGCTCAGGCCCATCCTCTCTGCCTCGGCCTTTTCACATGCTGCTCCTTCTCTGCAGGTGGTCCCACGCCCATCAGCTTGCACGCTTCTCCTCCAAGGCCCTGCTCAGACCTCAGATCCCACGAAGCCTTCCTGACCCAGCCCTCCTCTCATCCCGGGTACCAGGCTGAATCCCCTTTTGCCAGCTTGGCCTCAGCAGCCTCCTGATGCTCTGGTGTCCCTCCAGTGTCCCTCTGCTTGCTCCCCATTCCATGCTGAGACCTTCAAAACTACAAAGCTAATCCCAGCACAAACCTAACCTCCCCTCCAAACCTTCCAGTGCCTCCATCACTGGACAGAGGGATAAACGCAGCGTGGTCCATCCACGCAACAGGCTGTTATTCGGCTCCAAAAAGGAATGAAGTACTGATACACATGACAGCGCGGATGAACCTTGAAAACATGATGTTCAGTGAAAGAAGCCAGTCACAAAAGGCACACAGTGTCTGCTCCGTTTACATGAAACACCCAGAACAGGCAAATCCATAAAGCCAGAAAGCAGATTAGTAGTTGCCAGGGGCTGGGGGAGGGGAATGAGGAGTGACTGCTAATGGGTATGGGTCTCCTCTGGGGTGATGACAATGTTCTGGAACTAGATAGAGGTGGTGGCTGCACAACATGGTGAATGGACAAAAAGCCACTGAACTGTGCACTTTAAAATGGTGAATTGTATGGTATGTGAATTATACCTCAATAAAACTGCTGAGAAAAAAAAAAAAAACCCCCACAAATAACAGACACCTTCTGACACCCCTCCCCACCCCAAGAATAAAACACAACCCATCGCCCTGTCTACGCTGGTAGCCCCTCTGCCCTCAGTGCCTCCCACTTCTGCCCCCTTGGCTCTTTCCTGAACATTCCAAGCCTCCTCCTGCCTGAGGGCTTTCCCAGTGGCTCCTCCTTTTCCTAGAATGTTCTTTCCTTCCAGAGCCACCTGGCATCCCCCACTTCACTCGGGTTCTTGTTGTTCACTACATCTGAGGAGCCTTCTCCGATCATCCTTATTCTCTACCCCTTACCCTGCTTTTAAGGTCCCTGGGTGGCACAAACCGTTTGTGCTCGAGTGCTAACTGAAAGGTTGGCGGTTCAAACCCACCCAGCGGCACCATGAAAGAAAGGCCTGGTGACTTGTTTCTAAAGGGTCACAGCCTTGAAAACCCTTTGGAGCAGTTCTATTCTGTAACGTGGGGGGTCACCGTAAGTCAGAATCAACTCGATGGCAACCAGTAACTCTGCTTTTGTTCCCTGTAGCACCTGCAACTCCCTGACACCGTGTATCTATCTGTCTGCTCCATGAACCTAGGTGTGGGACTTACCAATCTGCATGGCTTGTGGTGCAGAAATGGCCAAGCCCAGTCGTTGCACCCAGAGTTTGTCCTAACCTCCACCCCAAGAAGCAAGGCCTTCCTCGGCCCTCTAAACCCCACGATGGCGATGTAATTCTGTCTTTGTCCTCCTCAGAAGCTGTCCTGGGGACCAACAGGAAGATCAGCCTGCACTCTAACTGTCCTCACAGGGACATAATCTCTCCGAGGGCAGACATTCAACGTGTCCTCATCACTGCTGTGTCTCCGTGACTAAACCCAGCAGCAGGGGCAGAAGAAGGTCCTTGGGTGGCGTAGATGATTTGTGCTTGGCTACTAACCTAAAGGTTGGTGATTCAAACCCACCCAATGGTGCTGCAGAAGAAAGGCCTGGTGATCTGCTTCCATAAAGATTACAGCCAAGAAAACCATATAGAGCAGTTCTACTCTGTAACACATGGGGTCACCATGAGTCGGAATTGACTTGATGACAACAGGTTTTTTTCGGGGGTGGGGGGGATGGGGGGCAGGAGATGTGTGTTGGACGCCACCTGCCCAGTCCTGCACACATACCATGACTACAGCCTTATGACATTTCTGCCTCCCTTAATCACTTCTTCCCTGCAGCCCTACACCGGGGCAGATGCCTGGTCCATAGCACGTCTCTGTGAAAGGCGGCAGGATCAAAGAATGACAAGCAACAGGGTCTACACGATGCTGTTCAGTGCCGGAAGCACTTTCACATCTGCCATCCACCTCATTAGAGGAGTGCACCTGAGGAAGTAGTGGAGGCCGAGCCAGGCAGCCGAGAACCTACTCCAGGAGCCACAGGGCCAAGTTCCCACCACAAATGATCGGTGGAGCTTATGTGAAGAGACAGGCTTTGATAAAACGTCACCCCAGCAGAAAATGAACAGGCACTCAATCTCTAATCTATAAAGAAAACCCAGAGGAACGGGCAGTGCCAACACAAGATGGCCTTGGCATTAAGCTGTGTTTCAGGGATTAGCAGCCCAGAGCTGACTCTACCCCAAACCTTCCCCACCTCCTGACACAGACAGACAGGGGTCCACGAAAAAAAGCAGTCTTGCTTGACTGGTGGAACCCTGAGACAACACTCTGCCCCATACTTCTGGGTTTTATGAACACACCCGTTTAATTAGGAAGTGTAAACTTTATGAGGCCTAATGATTATGAGGCCATAATTTCAAGGTCAAGCTGAATTAAACTTTCCTAGAAAATGACCTGGGTGATGCAAGTGGTTAAGTGCTGGAGTGCTAGACTACTAGCCGAAAGGTTGACGGTCCACCCAGAGGCACCTCGGAAGACAGGCCTGGCGATCTACTTCTGAAAGGTTACAGCCTTGAAAACCCTATAGAGCAGTTCTACTCTGCACATATGGGGTTGCCATGAATCAGAGCCAACTTGATGTCAACTAACAACAGAAGACAGAGGGCTGCAGCAGGCTATAAATGCAATGAGCAGACGACTGGGACAGGAGGGAGGGGTCCTGGGTTCAACGCCCACCTCCACCTCCCTATGTGACCCTGGGCAAGTTTCCTCCACTCTCTGGCTCTTGTCTCCTTGACTATAAATGGAGGCCAGCCTCCTTGGAACCCTCAAGTGCCTGATTGGTTTTCTGATCAAGAATTAAAAACCAAATTAAAAAATCTAATTCTGGAATAGAGCTCACCAGTGCTCAAGATTAGTGGGAAACTTCTGAGGCTGCAAAACTGAGGTCTGGGTTGAGATCAAGCCATAGTTTGCAAGGAGTTAAGGCCACTTCCTGGTTGGAAGGGGAGGTGAGGGTCATCCCAAGGTTTGACCTTGGGGTGGGGGGAGGGGGAGGATTCAGACACACCTGTGCCCAGAGGTAGGCTGCTGTCACTGCAGGAGCCATTCTCCTTCCTCTAGGTGGCCTCTGGTAGTGACAACAATCCCTTAGTCATCATATAATTCTGATCCTTGGCCACCAGAGCACTGGCCAAGAGGGCACTAGCCCTCATGTGAAGAAAGAGCTCAGAGAGGTCGAGTGGCTTATTTAAGGGCAAACAGCAATGGGACACCAGGTCTGATGGCTTCCAGTCCAATTCTCTCTACCTTACACCTGGTACTTAATGGTTTTACAAAGAGCAGGCTCTGGGAGGAGGGCACGGTGGCGTTAGCACCCTCATCATGAGGTTCAGTGAAGTGAAGTGATCTGTTTAAAGTTACACTGAGGCAAAACAAAGCTTATTCCCCAGGTTTTCTCCATTTGGAATAAACTTCTGGGTTTGGCAGGGGCAGTGGTGGTTCGGTGGCAAATTCTCACCTTCCATGTGGGATACCTGGGTTCAATTTGTAACCAATGCACCTCATGCACAGCCAGCATCCATCTGTCAATGGAGGCTTGTGTGTTGCTATGATGCTGAGTAGGTTTCAGCAGAGCTTCTAGACTAAGAAGAACGGGGTGGTGATTAACTTCCAAAAATCAGCTGGTGAAAACCCTATGGATCCCAAGAATCCAATCTGCAACCGATCATGAGAATGGCACAGGACTGGACAGTGTTTTGTTCAGATGTGCATGGGGTCACCATGTGTTGGGGGCTGACTTTATGGCAGCTAACAACAACAACCTCAGTTCAGTGACTGTCCCCCACTTCCCCACTCTCATGCAAAGCTACTTCACTTGATCTGTGCTATTGCCAGTAGAACCTTTTAATGTGAGCAATGACTATTTTTGTGGCACAAAGGGAAGCCAGCTCCACTTTGGTGGATGTCAGAACCGAGATGCAACAGGCTGGTTCTGTCCAACCACTACATGGCCTGGCTCTGCAGGAAAGGCTGTTTTGCAAAGTGACAACTCGTGTCCTGGGCCTTGCAATATGGAAGACAGGGTTGTCTGTGGCACTGGCTGATTTCAGTTTCTCATGGAGGCTTTTATCTGGCATTTCTTTGGAGATGACAGGCTCCGAGGTGGCAGCTGTCGCTAGCCATTGCTGTCACCCTCGAGGGGGATGGAAGGCAGGAAAGGAAAGGCCCCTGATTCCCTGTCATCATTCCTTCTAGACGAAAATTTACCCAAGGAGGATACAGGATCAACCCCTGAACTCTCCACGGTTAGGAGCTGGAGAGGTGTGGGCTGGGATCCTGTGTTTGTCCTGCAGGTGCATGCTGGCATCTCTCTGGGATGACTGGGCCTGAGCTTTGGAGTCAGACACACTTCAGTCCAAATCCCATCCTCGCCACCTGCAGACTGCATGACCTTGGGCAAGTCCCATTCCCTCCTTGAGCCTCAAATTCCTTATTCGGGCAGACACGGCTCTCAACAGCACCTAACCCAGAGGACAGCTGAGTGTGAAAACGCGCAAAAAGCCCTTGGTACAGAGTAAATGCTCAATGAAGTCAGCTGACATGGTCTTTTCCCCACAGCTAACTTCCTATGTCTCAGTTTCCATTTCTGCATAAGATGGGGACCCCCAAGGAACCGCTTCGCGAGCTTCTGCAAGGACTGAACGCGATGACGGCCGCGAAGACCTCAGCCCAGGACATACACGCCCTCGACGAGCGGGCTGAGTGTCGGGGCCTCAGTCTCCTCATCTGCAAAATGGGCCCTTGGTTCCCCCCACCGCTCCCACGACCCGAGAACCCCTGAAAGGTGGTGGAGGTGGCTGGTCGTCGCCCCTAGTGTCCCCTCGAACCTCTGAGACCCCCTAGAGCCGTCCGCCCTGACCGCTCCCTCAGCCCCGGCCCCTCAAGGGAGCGCCCGGCCCGGGCCTCCCGCGTCCCCGGCCGCCCCCCGACCACGCTACCTATGGTGGAGATGAAGGTGGAGTTGAAGGCGTCCTCGGAGAAGCGGAACAGGACACAGGTCTTCCCCACCCCCGAGTCCCCGATCAGCAGCAGCTTGAACAGGTAATCGTAGGTCTTCGCCATATTACACTCTCTCCCCGACGGGAAGTGCGGCCAGCGCCTCGCCACTGGACGCCCGCCCCGTCCATCAGCGCCGAGCCCGCCCCCAATTGGCTGCCGGCCCGCCTCGCGTCACTGCGGCTGACGCCCGCCCCCGCGCCCCGCCTGGCGCGCGGAGACCAGGGAAGGGGAGAGTGGGGAGCGGAGCCGGAAGCGGCACGAGCGCGCCGCCCATTGGCCTGTGCTCGGGGCATGGCGAGCTTCGATTGGCTGGCGGTGCGGAGTTGAGGGGCTTCAAATGGGGAACGGGGCAGAGGCGTGCCATCCCACGGCCTCGCTTCTTCCTCACTCTGGGGCGGCCCCGCCTCGCCCTCTTATAGGACGGGGAGGGCGGGAATCGTCGCCAACGGCCCCGCGCGCCTGCAGCCCGGGGGCGGGGCCTGTTGCGCATGCGCATGCGCGCCAGGAGACCGTTGAGCGCCGGCAGAGGGCGCGCGCGCGCGGGAGGCCTTCGGGTGCCGCTTTAACGGCCTGCGCAGCCTTAGTAGGCGCCGGGGCGAGCGCTGGAAGGAACAATCGTGGGGGTGTCGTCTTCTGGGGAACACAGGGAAGGCAGGGGCGTTCGTCGCAATTGGAAAGAGGCCGCCTCAAGATCTAAGTGCTGGACAAAGAACCTACCTGAGACGTCCCGTTCTCTGCCACGTCAGTGGCCTCACCGCCGCAAGCTGCGCCCTGAGGCGCGCTGAGGTGCCTCAGGACCAGTCCTGGACCTAATTGACCTAATTAGAAGTTGTCCCGGCCACGCTGTCTCCAGGTCTCAGGCTAGACTCAGCCGCCTGCGCCGTCAGCCCTTAAAGGCGTGCTCAGGGTGCAGGTGGGCTTGCGAGTGTCTCAGGACCCTCTGAGGGAGTGAAGGATAGTGATAATTATAAGTAACAATTATGAGCATTTGCTTCTGTGCCTAGCAGTGTTCTCAACACTTTTTACGTATTTAACCGCCACAGCAACCCAGTGAGGTAAGTATTGTTTACTCGGGTTTTATGGTGAGGAAACTGAGGCTGGCCAGGTTAAGTGACTTTCCCAGGTTCCAAAGTGGGAAGTTGTTTTTTGAATGCATATCTGCAAGCCTCAGAGGCCAGACTCTTTGTCCTATTTTTTAAAATAATTTTATTGTGGTGAAAATACATGTAACAAAACATACACTGTCTCAACAATTTGTACATGTATAATTCAGTGACATTTGATTACACTCTTCGAGTTGTGCAACAAGTCTTGATAACTTTTACAAGAGGCCAAGGGGGCAAATGGTTAAGTCCTTGATTATTATTAGCTGAAAGGTTGGCAGTTCCAACACACCCAGTGGCGCCTTTGAAGATAGGCCTGGTGATCTGCTTCTAAAAGGTCATGGCCTTGAAAACCCTCCAAAGCAGTTCTAACTCTGCACACGTGGGATGGCTGTGAGTCTGAATTGACTGGACAGTAACTAGCAAGAAGCTCTTTATCACTATGGCTTCCTGATTCTCAGAGATGGTCCCAACTGCATGCTTGACTTCAGGGCCTCAAGTCACTTGCTGGCGCACACAGAGAAGCCTGGAGCCTCACCTAAGGATTTTCCAGCAGATGGCCCCAGCCTCTCCTACTCCCTTCCACTTCAGCTCATCCTTCTGCTAATGAGCTCTGATCAAGAAATGCTTCAACCACAGCCATTGACCACTTCATAGGCCTTACCCTCTGTGGTATTTTGATACTATTGACCACCTTCCCTCTGGAAATTCTCTTTTCCTTGACACTTGCCCCACTTTCTTCTTCTGTTTCTTCTCCTATCAGCTACTTCCCTTTCCTGGGTGCTGCTTCTCATTCCATTGCAGTCTTTTTTGGAGGTCTCTGCTAGTCCCTGAGCGGTGCAAATGGTGAACATGCTTGGCTGCAAACTGAAAGGTTAGAGGTTCAAGCCCACCCAGAGGCGTCTCAGAAGAAGAGCCTGCTGATCTATTTCCAAAAAATCAACCATTGAAAACCCTATAGAGCACAGTTCTACTCTGACACATGGAGTTGCCATGAGTTTGAGTTGACTCAATGGCAACTAGCAACTTCTTGTCCCTTAAGTGCTGGTGTTCCACATGGTTCTTTCTGTCCTAAGTCCTCTGTTCTCCCTTCCAGTATCCCCATGCTAATTCTCAGTTCCTTATCCATAGTCCAGCCATGCTTGCATGTCCAACTGCTTTCTGAACATCTACCTTTGGGTTTGCCAAAGATACTTTAAGCTTAACATATCCACAACTGAGCTGAACTTCCACTTAGGTAAGGGCAGTGGTGGTTCAGTGGTAGAATTTTCACCTTCCATGTGGGACACCCAAGTTTGATTTCTGACCGATGCCTGTCATGCGCAGCCACCACCCATCTGTTAGTAGAGGCTTGCATGTTGCTATGATACTAAACAGGTTTCAGCAGAGCTTCCAGACTAAGATAGACTAGGAAGAAGGCCTGGTGAGCTACTGCCAAAAATCAGTCCATGAAAATCCTATGGATCACAATGGTCTGATCTGCAATGGATCATGGGGATGGCGTAGGACAGGGCAGTGTTTCATTCTGTTGTGCTTGGGATCGCCATGAGTCAGGTCGACTTGATGGCAGACAACAATTTCCACTGATGCGTGTCTTGAATTACCTTCTGTGTGAAATCTAAGCCTTTGACACCTTTCATCCCACACATCTTGGAGATTCTAAATAGCTCTTAAATTTTGCTCCTCCGTTTCCATTGCCACAGTCAGCTCCTTATATTTCTCCACTGGTCTTCCTGCTCATTCTCTCTAATCCAGCCTCCACCCTACAGTGTTCACTTTAAAACATTTATCTGATCACATCTATCCCTTACTTAAAATCCTTCGGCAAGCCCTTGGCAGCAGAAAGCCCCAAATCTTTAACCTAGCATACACCCCTCACAATCTGGTCCTTACCTCACCCTGTGATTCACTCACCTCATGGGGTTGGGAACTCCCCAAGAGCTGAGACAGGTTAAACAAGCGTGGATCACTTATGCCAAATGCTGAGGCACAAGGATGACCAAAACAGTATCCTGAGATTACAGCCTAAGGTGGTAGCAAGGAGGGAGAAAACAGACATGGAAGGGGTAACTTCAGTTTAGTAATGGTAGTAAACTTAGAGGAGGAGATTATATTCATTGATATTCCCAGCACCTAAATGGCTATGGAGCAACCAAAAACCTGTTGCCATTGAGTAGATTCCAATTCATGGCAACCCCATGAGTAAAACTCAGCTCCACAGGGTTTTTTGGTGGCCATAATCTTTACAGAAGCAGATCACCAGGCCTTTCTTCTGTGGCACAGCTGGGTGGATTTGAATCACCAACCTTTTGGTTAGCAGCTGAACACAAACGATTTGTGCTACCAGGCAATGGACAGTGTTAGATGAATGTCAATATGAAGGAAATGTTTTTAATTGTACTTGTTAACAGAAACTTGTTTGCATATGCGCTTAATTTTTTAGTCTTTTCACTTCTCTTTTTGATCCCTCCTCCACCTGCCCTCCCCCGAAATAACCCATTGCCCTCAAGTCGATTACTGCTCACAGCAACCCTATAGAACAGAGCAGAACAGTCCCATAGGTTTTCCAAGGCTGTAACTCTTTATGGAAGCAGACAGCTACATCTTTCTCTTCCAGACCGGCTGGTGGGTTCAAACTGCCGACCTTCCAGTAAGCAGCTGAACACTTTAACCACTGCACTACCAGGGCTCCTTCCCCGAAATAAGGAAATTGTCATTCAGGTAGTGAAACTGCAGTCATCTTTGATGCTCCAAGTTCCCTGCCATCCTGTCAGCTCAGTCTTGAGGCTGCTTCCTTCAGATCGTCTCTTCCCTCCTGTTCCATGGCAACCACTATCCTGGATTATTGAAACATCTTCCTAACTGGTCTTCTTGCCTCTAAATCTACCACCCTCTCCTTGTTGTTGTCAGGTGTCATGAAGTTGATTCCAACTTGTGGCAACCCCATGTGACAGACTAGAACTGCCTCGTAGGGTGTTCTTGGCTGTAATCTTTATGGAAGCAGATTGCCAGGTCTCTCTCCTGCGGAGCAGCTGGTTGGATTCAAACCGCCAACCTTTCGGTTAGCAGCTGAGCTGTTTGCACCACTAGGGCTCCTTACCTCCCTCTAAGACCAAAAAAAGCCCCAGACCTGTTGACTTCAAGAGTCAATTTTGACATCTTTCCTTAAGATGAATGCTAATTGGATTTTCCTAATGCAGTACTTTAATGTTTAGTCTTCTGTGGCTCTGCACTCTAGCCCAAATTAAATTAAATCTAGGCTCTCATCAGTCTGGACCCAGCCTATCCAGCTTTCCTATTTCTGCAACACACAGAAAGTCTTAACCAAGAGGTCTTGTGCTTTTCTGACTCAGGTTACACGGACGATCTTTCCTGCTCCTCTCACCATCTATTAAAATGCTACTCATTCTTGACAGCCCGGCTCAGGCAGGACTGGGTATAACTAAGAACAGGAGCTTTTGTGTTACTGAGACAAAATGCTCTCATCTGTAATATGAAGAACATAATTGTTGTATTATAAAGTCATGGTATAAAGCAAATAACACTTGCTAAGTTCTCGGCACAGTTATCTTCTTTCCATCCCATCAATTCACCAAATATTGAGAAGCAAAGTTGCCGACATGTCCCCACACATTCTAAAATTGACACAAGTTGTAGTTTATGTAAAAATTTATTTGACCAAAATGTAGAAAAAGATACTATTACATATGATACAGTTGCAAGAATCTAAATGAAAAGTTTCGGTTTTATTCAGTTGCACAATTTGCTAGTGTATCTCCTGGTAGTGTGATGCTTAATAAATAGGAGTGACAGGCAGGGGATGTGGACAAGCTAGAAGCAGGGTGATTTTGTCCAGAATTGTAAACTTGAGTTGGCCCCCACGCTGCTGGGGAATGTGGAATGTTTGAGCTCTGAGATGTTAACTGAGAAAGCAGAAATATAACAAAGCTAACATGTGCAGCCCTGTCTACAAAATACTCCAGATCCAGTTCAATCAGCAGTTTCTTGGTCTTTTATTAACTTGGTCCCGAAGAAGGAAATGAAGTCTTAAATCAGTAAATCTTCAATCTGCCATTCCCTGAAGTATGGAGGAGATGAAGCTGGGCCAATTACTTTTTCATCTCTACTTTGCTACCAGAGAGGCCCCTTCTGTTTGTTAATAGAAAAACCTCTTTGGTCCAATTTATTGGTGGCTAGCAGTCTTTTTGATATGGCAGCCCTCGGTAGGACTGAATACCATATTCATTGCTGCTGAGTAGATGACCTCATATCAGAGCAGACAAGCATGGAATAAGACATCTTCTCAAAGACCAATTTTAGAATGAAAGAAACATGTAGAAGAGCATAACATCAAGGATTGTCCAGCAAACATTTGGGTTGTTACTATGACTATTTCCCAAGCATTCTCATGCTGACTGCTCAGAGGATGTTCGCTCTGCCCAGTGGAGTGTGGAAAAGGGCCAAGATGATTAGGCTAATCTGCCTGTGGTTTATGACTTCTCACTACAGTCCCCCTTTTTTTTTTTTTTCCTGCTCTGGATGGAAAATCCCCACCCGTACTAATGTGATGGTCCCTGGCTTCCTGTAGTGTGATCAATGGTGGCCCAGAAGGCTTTGTTCTTCAGCGTTTTAAATCAGCTCATGACTAGATACTCGAGTCTGTATTCTTTGAAAGTGTGGGGTCGTCTATTCTCCCAGGAACCAAATGCCCTCATCTGAAGAAAGTATGCTCAGTATAAAATACCCTGCCTATCTTAGGAGTAAATGCAACTTAAGGATAAAAATAGAGCTGAAAAAGCTGGTGCCATTTGAAAAAAAGGAAGGAAGCAGATTTAACTGGCGCTCAAAGCTTCTCTGATACAAAATATTTGGTCATGTATTCATAATTTGCTCAATGTTTCCAGCAAAGAGAAGATGCAGTAACAAAAGCAACTTCTTAAAAGAGAAGAGAAAGACACGGAGCTCTGGAATTTCTGCTGGAACAAGACTCTTCTGTTTTGGTTATATACAGTTAAGTTCGTTTAGTGTCTGATCCAGTGTCTGATGTAAGCCCACGTTCTCTTCTTTGGCCTGGGCAAGTTTTTCTGGTGAGGATTAGGAGTGAAGAGAAAAGGAAATTAGTATCATTGTTAAACATCTTTGCTGAAGAAAAAAGAAAAAAGGTGTTTAAACCCCAAACTTCCAGAGTGAAAGTCACACCAGAGAAAATACTTTGAATTTTAATTACAGTAGCACATCATGGAATACTAGGGACTCAGAATATTTGGGACTCAGAAGGGTTATCAGATAAAATACAGGGCACTCAGTTAAATGTGAATTTCAGACAAACAACAAATAATTTTTTAGTATAATTATGTCCCCAATGTTGCCTGAAACACACCAAAAATTATTCACCGACTATCTGAAATTCAAATTTAACTGAGTGTCCTGATTTTTTTGTTTTGGTTTGCTAAATCTGGCAACCATAGAGTCAACACCTGGATTTAGGCCAACACCTGTATTTAAGCCTAACTGTGCCACTGAGGTAAGTCATCTAAGCTTTCTAGGTCTCAGTTTTCCCATCTGTCAAGTGGGGATACTGATACCAATGGGTGTTTTTAGGGATTATTATTAGGCATACATGAGAAATGATTCAGAACCTGTAGGGTGCTACACAAACATAAGATTTTAGTCCTAGATCTGGGTGATTTAATATTCCCCTTGTTGCTGGGTGCTGTCAAGTTGATTCTGAATAACAGTGACCCCATGTGACAGAGTAGAACTGTCCCATAGGGTTTCCTAGGCTGCACTCTATGGGAGCAGATCACCAGGTCTTTTCTCCCATGGAGTAGCTGGTGGGTTCAAACCACTGACCTTTTGGTTAGCAGCTGAGTGCTTAATCATAGCACTACCAGGGCTCCTTAGATAGTCCCCATAATCAAGAAACCAAACCTGTTGCTGTTGAGATGATTCTGACTCATAGCCACCCTATAAGACAGAATAGAACTGCCCCATAGGGTTTCCAGGGAGTGGCTGGTGGATTTGAACAGCTGACCTTTTTTGGTTAGCAGCCGGACTCTTAACCATTGCACCACCAGGGCTCCAGATATTCCCCAATTGCTCGTCAAATTCGTCCTCAAGCCTTTGGTAGGAAAATACAGTCCTATACCCCATCTTTCCTGTGGAGTTTCTGGGAATGGCTGTTTGAATTCCAGTCATAATTGCGTTGTGTCTGTGTATGCAGTGCCATGTAGTCAAACCCCAGGTAAATGCAACATGATCGAGATTTAAACTAGACTATGGCCAGTGGCTCTGCAGGAGAAAGGCCTGGCAAACTGCTTCTGTAAAGATTACAGCCAAGAAAACCCATGGAACAGTTCTATTCTGTCGCATGGGGTCGCCATGAGTTGGAATCCACTCGACAGCAATGGATTTTTTTTTTTTTTTTAAATGGGCATGTTATTAAGTGGCTGAGCTGATGAAATAAAACAAAAACAAAAGTAAAACACCAACTAGTGCTATGCGTGACAGAGCACAAGAGAACTGGTTTGTAAATGAGTGATGACTGATAAGGGCCTGGGCCACGCCTGACTAAAATACTGGAGGAAAGCAAAATGCCTCATAAAATATGAGATGATCAACCAGGAAATTTTCAGAAGGAAAAAAAAAAAAATCAGTGCAGAGAATGGCAGCCTTTCTATTGCAACTACTGACCCTTTCATTTGACATGGCACTTAAAAAAAAAAGACCATGATCTGGAAGCACTCCATCAGAGAATGCTGGCCTGGGTTTATCCAGTCTGGATGGACAAATTTTAACTGAGCGCCTAATATGTGTGAGCCAGTTTCTCTATCATCTCATTTAATCCTGATAACTGAGATATCGCCTGTATTTTGCAGAAACGCTAAGGCTGCACAAGATGCAGTAACGTGTTGAGCTAGGATTCAAACCCAGGTTTCCTGACTACAAATCCTACACTCACTTCCCCTTGCCACCCAAATTTCCTGGCATCTGCTTTGTTTTTTGTTGTTGTTAGTTGCCATCAAGTCAGCTCTGACTCCTGGCGACCCCACACGTGTCAGAGTAGAACTGTGCTCCGTTGGGAAGCAGACTGCCAGTCCTGTCTTCCGAGGTGCCTCTGTGTGGGTTTGAACTGCCAACCTTTCGACTAGTAGTCCAGCGCTTAACCATTTGTACCACCCCAGGACTCTATGTGAAATAAAATAACTTTCCCTTAAAGTGTTAACTGCCCTTGCAAATTGTCAACAGGTAGGAGCAGAACTTCACAGCACTAATCTCTGCAAATGAAGTTCCACCTAGGTGCTTACTTAGGCAGAATGACTGGATAGGCAGGGCTGCAGTTATTTCAAAGGGTGCAGGTGAAAAATGTCTGGAAAAACCCTGGAAGCAAATATGTAGAGAGAGCAAAGCAACCAAAAACACCCACCCCGACATGGTCTGTAACTTTTCCAAGGGCATGTGTATGGCACGTGTGAGGGGAGTGGGCAGTCTATGCAGAAAGTCAGGAAGGGTGGTGAATGTGGAGAGGTCAGGGGTGGAAGGGTGTGAGTAGTTTAAGGGAAATGTGTTCTAGAGAAATAACTATAAAGAAAAATTGGGACAGAGGTCCCCACCTGAATAAAAAATTATAATATGAGGTGTAACAAGCTATGTTGTTGTTGTTAGTTGGTGTCGATCGATTCCATAATGTGTGCAGAGTAGAACTGCTCCATAGGGCTTTCAAGGCTGTGACCTTTTGGAAGCAGATCACTGGGCCTTACTTCCAAGGCACCTCTGAATAGGTGTGAAGTGTCAACCTTTTAGCTAATAATCAAGTGCTTAACCATTTGTGCCACCCAGAGACTCCATAACAAGCTACAGTGACCCAAAACTGATGACCTAATTGGAGACGTTTGTGCCAGTTCCAGCTACACAGTAAGGTTTGGAAGTTGGGGCTTAGACTTTGGAATGCTAGTGCTTCGGGGACATTTTGAGGTGGTGAGGTAAAGAAGAACTGGATAGATTGGAATTTAGATTATCTTGGAAAACACTATAAGCATGACCTTTAAGCACCCACAGGCCAAATCTCAGTTCTTGGTAAACCAAAGCAAGTTTCCTGGTTATAGCTCACTCAGGTATGAGGGAAGGCAGAAGTCAGTGCCTCAGTCAACTCTGCTTGGAACAACATTGGAAAGAAGAACCACCTCATTTCCTTTCTCTGGCACCACAGCAGCTTCCACTCCCTTCCCCTGCTAATGGGGTGCTCTTTAATCCTTTGTGCAGGCTTGTTCTAAGGGCAGGGTTTAGAGGCGAGCTTCAGTGGGAACTTCCTCCCGGGTCTGGGAGCTGGATGAACATTCCATGAACAATGAAGACACGGGGAACCCCAGGCACCATTCCCAGAGAGTGACACAGAGAAGACAAATGAGAAAAGGAGGAATTAGGAGACCAAAATGCCACTGCCACTATTTGAATTCCTAGCCCAAATCCCATTCAAGGACAACCCCCTTTTAGACCCAGGCCTGCTGGTCTTTGCCAGTTCTGCTGACTTTACTAAGATGCCCAAGAGGTTTAAAGGGATGAGCTCCATTCAAATCAATTTCTATTTAAGGAAAAACCACTATTGGCAGCTGCAATGAGCAAATTGCCCTACTTGAGGGCTCATGCCAAGTTGGTTTTTGTTTCCCCGTTTTCAGGAGAGCACCATGTGGGCATAATTTTCTCTCTGGAGCAATTTTTGAAACGCACTCTTCATTTGCAAGCACAAGAAGGTGAACCACCCACTTTCTGTTCCAGTCGTGGACAAGGGCGTCATAGCTACGACTCAAAAGTGGCAAGTGGAGAAAACTGAAAATGAGAGGGTGTGCAGACGAAAACTGCCTGTCTTTATTTCAGTCACATAGTCACAGACACATCAGAAGAAGCCTTGAGAGATCAAACCAGGAGGGAGGCCACTGGATCTCCCGGCACACACAGTGAAAAGACAGGCTTTGGTATTGCTAGGACAGAGGGCAGCAACAAGCAGCCCCTCAGAGAGAGCTCATGTCATTGAGAGCATGGTCCAGCTCCCTGCTGATAGCTTTGTACTTCAGCTTCTGAGAGTATAACTCATCTAGAGCGCGGAGGTTCCCAGAAAGAGAGTTCGGAGGAAGAGGTACAGGGGACAGAACGCAAGGGTCAGAATGGAGGGCCACAGATGAGCAACGCGAGGAAGGAAAAAAAAAGTGAGAAAACAAAGCATGAACTGGGATAAAGAGTTGCATCCTAAACACAGCTGACAAAAACGAAAGGTCTGTGGAGTGGTTGCTATGTGGTTTGAGATTCTGCAGGGGGTTACCATAATGACAGAGCAAAAGACCCTTTAAAAGCACAGTGACTAGAAATGGACAGAGCTCTGCCAGTCCACTAGTTATTTTTTGACCTCCAGTGATGTCACCTAGTGCAAAGGTTATACTTTTGAATGGGGCATTCTTCATTATATGGAAACCTCACTTCCCAAACCAAACAGTGGAACACCTGGAGTGACAAATGATTTGTATGGCCTCTCTGGGTGGGACAGGCCGTTTGGATAATTTCTGTTTGAACCCCAAGTCCTGGAATTTCCGAGCTATTCCATGAAGAACACAGGGCAGCATTTAAAAATTGGAATTCTCCAAGTACTTCTGTGATACATGGGCATCAGACATGCAGTCTTCATTCAGGTCTCTAACCAAAATTAACTGCCAACAAGCCGATTCCGACTCATGGTGACCCCATGTATGCAGGGTAGAACTGCTCCACAGGGTTTTCAAGGCTGTGACCTTTTGGAAGCAGATAGCCAGGCCTTTCTTCCAAGGCATCTCTGGGTGGGTTCGAATCTCTAACCTTTTAGTTAGCAGTCAGGCATTTAACCATTTAAATGCCGCTCAGGGACTCTCTATTTTGTATATTTCCGTTTTATCATCTTGCGATAAGCTTTGAGCTCTCTGGGAGAGAACTTCTGTAAAAATACATCCCCAGAAATGAACAAATAAAAAACAATTTCTAAAGACTTTAAAAAAACAAATCAGAGAGCCGTATTTGGGTCTCTGTACTCACATGTGGAGCTAATCAAGCAGAGATTATTTTTTATTTCTTGAAAATGGCAACTCAAGTCTGAATTTGATTTGCACTATCCTGTTCCAATGCTCCAGACTTCCAGATGTGACATCACTCTGCACTCTACTTTCTTAAAGGGGACAAAGCCCAACTCAACCCCTCCAGAGGCCTCTCCTGATTGGCTGGGGATCCATCATTGACAGATAGGCACGGCAAACATATTCAGATGATAAGTTCATACCTTCCAGGTCGTCAATGGTCTTCTCCAGTTTTGCAACTGTTCTCTCTGCGAATTCAGCACGGGTCTCAGCCTGAAGAAGAAGAAAGGAGTCACCACTGTTGCTTCGGGACCAGTGCCTCCAGGAAACTTGAACTAGCTAGGTGTGATCAGACTCACCTCTTTCAGTTTGTCAGACACAAGTTTAATTTCTTCTTCATATTTATCTTCCTTTTCAGAATACTGTGGGAGAAATCAAAATACAGCTTTACAAAAAGGAGGGGGAAAAAAAAAGAAAGGAATAAAAGAATGTAGATTCCAAATTCCCTGGAGAAAAGTGTCCTTCAGGCACTGTCAACATGCCAAGAGTTCCTAAGAAGCAAAGCAAAGGCAAGCACCTTTCCAGGCAGAAGAAATATGTGTGAAATCTGCGAAAAAATCTGTGGGAGAAACGCCTAGAATAGTATTGACCTGAAGGACTGAGCTGACAACTTAGATAAAATCGTGATGAAGAAAGTGGTACAGCCACTGTGGAAAACAGTTTGGTGGTTCCTCAAAAAGTTGAACATAGAACTACAACATGACCCAACAATCGCACCAGAAGTGAAGGCAGGAACGTAAACAGAAACCTGTACACCAATGTTCACTGCAGCACTTTACACAATAGGCAAAAGGTGGACACAATCCAAATGTCCATCATCAGATGAATGGATAAACAAAATGTGGTATATATATACAATGGAACAGTACTCAGCTGTGAAGAGAAACGAAGTTCTGATGCATGCCACAACATGGATGAACCTAGAAAACATCATGCTGAGTGAAATAAGTCGGTCGTAAAGGGAGAAATGCTGTATGATCTCACTTATGTGAAATAAGCAAATAGATAGAAACCAAAGATTGTTAGTGGTTACTGGGGTAGGAGGAGCCCTGGTAGCATAACAATTAAGCACGGGCTGCTAACCAAAACGTTGGCAATTTGAATCCACCCAGCGGCTCTGCAGGAGAAATACCTGGTGATCTGCTCCTGTAAAGATTACAGCCTACAAACCCTACTGGGCAGTTCTATTCTATAACACACGGGGTTGCTATGAGTCAAAAATCTACTCAAGGGCACCTAACAACACAGCAACAACCAGGGATGGGAGGGAAGGGGAAGGAGAAGTCTTTGCTTAGGGGGCAATAAGGTTGTGTTAATGGTGGTAGAATGATTTGGAAAAGGATAGCGAGAGTGGATACAGAGCTTGAGGAATGTAATCAGTGTTACTAAATTGTACATGTAGAAATTGCTAAGAGGGTGTATGTTTTATGTGTATTTTCACCACGATAAAAAAGTGTGATGAAGATGGGGCAGATAACTGAACAGAAAAACACACGACTCAAGGCCCTTCACACAGTTGACCTGGTCTGTGTTTCGAACCCCATCTTCCACCAGCTTCCCCAAGGGCCGGGCCACTCTCTGAACACACGTTCTGTACACTCTCCTGTCTCCCAGCCCTTGCCTATGAGTGTGCACCCCAGCACGGAACGTTCCTTTTTCCATTACTACCTGTTAGAAACTATATTTGTCCTTCAAGGCTCAACTCAGATTAATATTGTTGTTAACTGCTGTCATGTTGGCCCCTGACCCATGACGACCTCATGCACAACACAATGAAACGCTGCCCAGTCTAGTACCATCCCCATGAGTACTGAAAGACTGGACCGTTGGAATCTGTAGGGTTTTCATTGGCTGATTTTTGGAAGTTGATTGCCAGGCCTTCCTTACTAGTCTGTCTGAGTCTAGAAGCTCCACTGAAACCTGTTCAGCCTCACAGCAACACGAGAGCCTCCACTGACATGTGGGTACTGCACTGAGGTGGACTGGCTGTGCATGAGGTGCAATGGCTGGGAATCAAACCCAGGTCTCCTGTGTAGAAGATGAGAATTTCTACCACTGAGCCACCTCAGCAACATCTAGATCACTGTTTGACCAAACAACTGGGCACCAGAGCCTAGCCAAGTGCTTGCTGTGTTGCTGGAAATCCTTAATTGCATTTTACAGATGAAGAAACAGAGTAGTTAAGTAATTTGTGTAGGGTCACACAGCTATTAAGTGACAAAGCCATGGCTGGAAACTGACTCTGGAATCTATGCTCCTGACATCATGCTCTACAGCCTTTTCTGATGTTACCTCTTTGGTGGTACCTTTGCCAACTTACCAAGGTCCCCCTGTCGCATTCCCAAAGCACTCTGTTCTTGGTATGTCAGTCTTTCCCGCTAGACCAGATTCTGAGCTCTTCAAGGGCTATCTTAGTAACATCTACTCCTATGGCCTAGGGCAGCTTTTGGCAAGCACACATGCATTGCATTCATTAAGTATCTGAGTATCAAATATGTGCCAGGGACAGTGCTAGTAGTAGGGATACATCTCTGAACAAGACAGATAGGGTACATGTCCTTAAAAGTTACAATCTAGCAAGGAAAGCATGCAATTCCCTGAGTCATTACAATAAATGTGATAAACCATGACAGGAAGAGAAAGAAATGGGCTACACAGAAGAGAAAGAGCCAACCTAGATGAGAAGTCTCAGAAGTGATGTTTTAGTCGAGGCCTAAAGGATGAGTACAGCACCCATCTGTCAGTCTGTCATACTGTCGTGGCTTGTGTGTTGCTGTGATGCTGGAAGCTATGCCACCAGTATTTCAGATACCAGCAGGGTCACCCATGGTGGATAGGTTTCAGTGGAGCTTCCAGACTAAGACAGACTAGGAAGAAAGGCCTGGAGATTGATTTCTGAAAATTAGCCAACGAAAACCCTATGGATCACAACAGAACATTGCTGACTCTCTTGCTCTGGACATATCAGGAGGGATCAGGGGCTGGAGAAGGACATCATGTTTGATGAAGCAGAGGGCCAGCAAGCGTGTGGGAGACACTTGGTGAAATGGACTGGCACAATAGCTGCAACAATGGACTTGAACATGCTGGCAATAGTGAGGATGGCCCAGGACTGGGCAATGTTTCATTCCGTTGTGTGCTGAGTCGCCACGAGTCAGAGCCGACTCGATGGCAGCTAACAATGGCAAACAAATGAGTAGGGTTTTATCAAGTACAGAAGAAAGGGAAGGTGACTCCAGGCTGAGCGAACAGCTCGAAGAACTAGATGAGAGGGGAAAACATGCAATGTGTGTGAGACTGAAGCTCAAAGCAGATGGAGGGCAGGTGGAGGAGGAAGAATGCTGAGGCTGGGAAATCAGCAGGGCTGGATGAGTGTGTACACTGCTCCTAACATGGTTCTATCTTGCAGTGACTGCTTTGGGAACTGTTTCAATCTAAAAAGCTCAATTCTACCTCTGATATCTGCCACTCAACCTTCGAGAAGGTATTTCTGGAGGAACGTGGGGATTCAGGTGAGAGTGGGCTTTGTACTTAGACGAGTATGCCCAGATCTTCCTAAGAGGAGCCTTGAGCCCAAAAAACCAAACCCACTGCCATCGAATTGATTCTGACTCATGGTTACCCCATATGTGTAGAGTAGAACTGTGCTCCAAAGTGTTTTCAAGGCTGTAGCCTTTTGTAAGTAGATCACCAGGCCTTTCTTCCAAGGTGCCTCTGGGTGGGTTTGAACTGCCAACCTTTCAGTTAGTAGTCAAGCGCTTAACCATTTGCACCATGCAATGACTCCTTAAACCAAAAGCAAACAAAAAAACCCCAAAAAACAAACAGACAGAAAACAACCAAACCCACTGCTGTCAAGTTGACTTTGACTCATGAGACCCCATGTGTGTTAGAGTAGAACTGTACTCCATAGGGGTTTTAAGATTGTGACCTTTCAGAAGATTGCCAGGCCTTTCTTCCATGGTGCTGCTGGGTGAGTTCAAACTGTCAACCTTTAGGTTAGTAGTCAAGTGCAAACCATCTGCACTAGCCAGGGGCCTAGGGACTCCTCACCAGGTACCAATCTCATACTTCATCTACATCCTCCTTTGAAGTGGAGATAAAAGATGGTACCAAGACCCCATGGAAGACGACTCAAGAGCTTGTGTGGGAAATCAAGCCACTGGACACCTCCTTGTACGAGAAAAGAACCTGGCTGCTGGGCAAAAAAGCTACAGTTAAGAACCAAAGGTCAGATTCCTGATATACCTCGGCCTGCTCAGTGTCCCTTGGGGGAAGAAAAGAACAAAGCCGGCAAGTCGCCCTCAAAGTTTCAAGCCGCCACCAACCTTTTCTGAGGCTGCCTCCAGCGATTTCAGATTGTTTGTGACATTCTTGAGTTCTTCTTCCAGGTCACCACATTTTCTGCACAAAGACAAAGGGTTTTTGTGACTCATCCTCCCTCGGAGCAAGCAGTTTGTCCCAGAAGAAGTTTTCACAATGGGCCCCCAGAAGGAATGCGGGAAAACATTTTTAGTGGATTTTTCTGAGAGGGAAGGCTGTGTACTTATCAAACCCTGATCATACCAGGCCAAGGTGTGGCGAGCCTGGGAACATCTGAGAGGTTTGCAAAGAGCTCCTGGGCCCCTGCCGAGGATGAGGCAACACAGCCTTGTGAAATCTGATTGATGAGGCTGGCTCCGCAAGGTGTAAGAATGAGACCGAGGACAGGAGGTTGGGAGACAGCAATCAGAGCTTACACTGGACATTCAGGACAGGTTGGTGAAACGAGAGCTCTCTTGGCACTGTGGGAAGCACTTGAAGCTGGACTCCCCAGCCACCACCAACAGAGGAGGCCTTCCATTTTTTGGAGCTCGCTGGATTCTGGTCAAGCTTCTCACCTCTCCCCAGGAATGTGTCACAGCCAAACACTGGCATGAGATGAGCGTGTAGACGCTGCTGGGGTGGCACAGGCTCCCGAGAGAGCCTCTCTGGGAATATGGGACTGTGGGGTTCTCTACTGCCACCTCTCTCTCACAATGTTATGGGCTGAATTTGGTCCCCACAAAATATGTGTTGGAATCCCAACCCCTATACCTGTGGAATAACCCCATTTGGGAAAAGGGTTTTCTTTTTGTGTGTAAATGAGGCCATATCAGTGTAGGGTCTGTCTTAAGCCAATCATTTTTGAGATACAAAAGGAGCAGATTAGGCACAGAAGCAAGGAAGCACAGATGGGGAAGATAGATGTCACATGAAGATCTCTAAGGAACCAAGGAAGAGAAGCTGAAAAGAGACAAGGGCCTTCCTCCAGAGCCAACAGAGAGAGCCTTCCCTTGAGCCGGCACCCTGAATTCAGACTTCTAGTCTCCTGAACTGTGAGAAAATAAATTTCTGTTCTTTAAAGCCGCCCACTTGTGGTATTTCTGTTACAGCAGTTCTAGGAGATTAAGACACACACCGGTTTCCCAGTCTCTTTGTAGGAACAGTCCATGTGTGGGTAATGTCTTCCAGGGCAAGAAGAACAAACAGGCATCCAGGGAGGCAATGAGGAGGGACTGAGCAGGACGTCCCAGGTACCCAGCTACTTCAGCAGAGGCCCTGGCCAGTGCCAGTTCCCACCATACACAACTCCCGCCCGCTCCATCCCATGAGCCAGGCTGGGCCCCAACCCGTCCAGTTCTGCCACTCACAGTTCAGACACCTCCGCACGTTCCTCCGCTCGCTCCAGCTCACCCTCCAGGATGACCAGCTTTCGAGCTACCTGTGGAGACAGAAAGGCTCGACCAAGACTGATTCCCAATACCTGTCTTATAGGAGGCCTTCACCCAAAGGTCCCTGTGCAGACAGCAAAGCCACAGGCCTAGACCATCTGCAGTGTGGGGCTTCCTGCTGGTTCTTCAACCCAGGTCGTCCTGGAGCCTGTTTGTTTTTTTCCAGTTGCTGTTAAGTTTCCCTAGAGGTTCTGACTCATAACGACCCCATGTGTAACAGAGTAAAACTGCTCCATAGGGTTTTCAAGGCTGTGACCTTTCGGAAGCAGATTGCCAGGTCTTACTTCCGACGTGCCTCTGGGTGAGTTTAAACCGCCAATCTTCCTGTTAGAAGTCCAGTGCTTCATCATTTGTACCACTCAGAGGCTCCCTTCCATGGGCTTTCAATGGCTGATCTTTTGGAAGTAGATCACCAGGCCATTCTTCTGAGGTGCCTCTGGATGGACTCAAACCTCCAACCTTCCAGTTAGCAGCTGAACCAGTTCACCATTTGCACCACCCAGGGACTCCTGGAGAAAATCTAAATTCTCACCCTTGGGCCCCAAGAGTGAAGCAGATGAGGAGGGGGAGAAGAGCTGAGCCAGGGAGGTGCACAAGACTGACTGGGCTTTCCTGGTCGGCAGATTTGTGGCCAAGGACCACACATCTCAATTTTAGCCACGCTGTGCTACCAAAGGGTTCCCGGGTACAAGCGGTTTGTGGTCAGCTGCTAACCTAAAGGTGAGTAGTTCAAACCTACCCACTGGCTCCATGGAAGGAAGTCCTGGCAATCTGCTTCCATAAAGATTATAGCCAAGAAAACCCTAGGGAGCACTTCTACTCTGTAACACATGGGGTCACCGTGAGTTGGAATCAATTGGAGAGCCACAGGTTTGCATTTTTTTTTTTTTGTTTTTTGTTTGTGCTGCCAAAACCCCCAGGTGACAGACAAGAGTGATTTGATCATCTGGTTTTTCTACCAAACAGAGCTCCCCAGGACCTTTGGCCCTGTGGAAGGTACAGTTTTCTAGCCAAGTGTCCAACTCTGGAAACAGATGGACAGCTGACCTAACCAAGAGCTTCCATTAAGCTGCCCCAAGCTCTCCCTATCAGCGGACCTGTTTCCTCCCCACTTCCCACCACCACCATCCGCCAGCCCTGCTCACCTCCTCGTATTTTCGGTCAGCCTCCTCAGCGATGTGCTTGGCCTCCTTGAGCTGCATCTCCTGGATCTCCATCTTCTCCTCGTCTTTCATGGCCCGGTTTTCTATCACCTTCATGCCTCTGCAAGGAGCAACTTCATAAGACCACCGTCCACTCCCACATCGCCCCACGTCTGTGCATTGAAACATTATCTCTGACGTGTGCTGAGCACCACACTTCACAGATGACCCTCTGCAGGCTTACCTCTGTCAGGCTCACAGACTGAAAGCCGCACACACTTCATGTTCACTGTTAGGGATTGATCTGTGCCCCCAAAATATGCTGGAATCCTGACCTCTATATCTGTGAATGTCATTGCGTTTGGGAATAGGGTTTTCTTTGTTATGTTAATGAGGGTGGGTCCTAAACCTAATCACTTCTGAGTTATAAGAAGCAGCAAAGACACGTTGTTGTTGTTAATTACCGTTGAGTCATTTCCAACTCATGGTGACCCCATGTGTGCAGAGTAGAACTGTGCTGCATAGGGTTTTCAAAGTTGTGACCTTTCAGAAGCAGATTGTCAGGATTGTCTTCTGAGGCACCTATGGGTGGGCTTGAACTGCTGACCTTTTGGCTAATAGTCAAGTGCTTAACTGTTTGTGCCACCCAGGGCCTCTACAGCACAGACACAGAAACAAGCAAATGGGGGGAAGATAGATGCCACGTGGAGGTCACCAAGGAACCGAGGAATGCTGGGGCTACAGAAGCTGAGCCAAGGACCTTCCCCCAGAGCCAACAGAGAGAGAGAGAGAGAGCCTTTCTGTAGAGCTGGCGCCCTGAATTCAGACTTCTAGGAGTTTCTGGATGACGCACACATGAGGTCTCCATGAGTCAGAATCAACTTGATGGCAACTAACAACAACAACAGCCTCCTAAACTGTGAGAACATAAATTTCTGTTCTTTAAAACCACCCACTCTGCTCTTTGTGTTATAGCAGCTCTAGGGGAATCACTGATTACCAGGCACTGTTCTATGTGCCTTAACCTTTACAACTGCCCTGTGAAAAAGGCACATTATCCCATTTTACAGATGAGGAGACTGAGGCACAGAGAGGTCAAGCTCAAGGTTTGTTGGTGTTGTTTGCTGCCGTCTAGTCAGCTCTGACTCACGGCAACCCCGTGCAAACAGGATGAAATGCTGCCCAGTCCTGAGCCATCCCCATAACTGGTTGTGGATTGGACCTTTGGGATCATTGGGTTTTCACTGGCTGATTTCTGGAAGCAGTTCTGTAGGGCTTACTTCGGATGCACCTCTGGTCCTTCACACTTCCCCTGGGCTGCCCTGGACTGCCACCACCTCCCTCTGTGAAGGGGCTGAAGCTAAGTCTGCACGGGGGTCCATGCCCCTGCATTGGCTCTTCGATTGCAGGAGAATTCTTCCACTTGTTGTGGAGTGAATTGTGTCCCTCTAAAATACATATTGTAAATCCTCACCCCTATACCCAAGGAAGGAGGCCTTGTGCCACAGTGGTTAAGTGTTCTGCTGCTAATCGAAAGGTGAGTGGTTTGAACCCACCAGGCACTCCACGGGAGAAAGATGTGGCAGTCTGCTTCCATAAAGATTTACAGTCTTGGAAACCCTATGGGGCAGTCCTCCTCTGTTCTGTAGGGTCACAATGAGGTGGAAATGGCTCAGTGGTAATGGGTATACCTGTGGATGTGATTACATTAGGGAATAGGATTTTTGTTTGTTATGTTAATAAGGCCATCTCAGTGTAGGGTGGGTCTTAAACCAACTTACTTTTGAGATATAGGCACAGAGAAGAAAGCACAAACGGGGGAAGATAGATGCATGTGGAGATCGCCAAGAAACAGGAACTCCGGGTTTACAAAAGCTGAAAGACAAGGACCTTCCCCAAGAGCCAACAGAGAGAGCCTTCCCCTAGAGTTGATGCCCTGGATTCAGACTGCCAGCCTTCTGAACTGTTAGAAAATAAATTTCTGTTCATTAAGGCCACTCACTTGTGGTATTTCTGTTACAGCAGCTCTAGGAAACTAAGACACCACTCGAACAACTCAGTCAGTCTCTGAAAGTCTCTACTTGCTTTTGAATCTCCAGCTTACAGTCCCAACAGCACATCAAAAAGGACTCCTTTATATTGTTGATGTGTTGTGAGATTGTTAACCATTGTCATAGGGCAACATTTGTAGTAACTGTCAAATGGGAGACTATTTTGTCCTGTAAGC